TCAAATATTATGAGCCGAGGTGGCGCAGCAGTTAGAGTGCAGTACTGCAGGCCACTTTAGCTGACTGTGTTCAGCAGGTCAGCGGTTCAAATCTCACCGGCTCAAGGTTGACTCAGCCTTCCATCCTTCCGGGGTAGGTAAAATGAGGACCCAGATTGTTGGGGGCAATGTAATATATATATACATTGCTTACTGGTGTACACCGCTTAGAGAGTGCTTGCACTTAAAGCGGTATATAAGTCTCACAAATAAATAAATAAATAAATAAACACTGTTTTTCAGTTTTTAGATCCAAAACTTTTCAAGTCTTTTTTTTTAAAAAAAAGTTCTTAAAAACACTTTTAGTCCCTAAATTTTCAAGATATATATAGGAACACACAGACAGACCGGATCCTGCACTATGAGAGCAATTATCCAATGGCACATAAGGTTAGCTGCATCCGAACACTGTTTAAAAGAGTGGATACTCATTGCAGCATGAGGGCGGCGAAAACCAAAGAAAGGGCCTACCTTCACCACATATGTAAACAAAATGGATACCCAAGAGATTTTATCCAATGGTGCTGCAAATGCCATGGACCTCAAACAATACACAACGGACCAATAATTACGACCTGGGCAATGCTCCCATATATTAATGGCATATCCAAAGCAACAGCATGGATACTTGCACCTTACAATGTCAATGTGGCACATAAACCAAATCAGACATTGCGTACCAAAGTAATGCGCCCAAAAGATCCACTGCCCAAAGACGATAGATCATCTATAGTCTACAAGATCAATTGTAATGACTGCCGTTGCAATTATATTGGAGAAACCGCAAAGCGACTTAAGACCAGGATCCATGAACATGAACTGGCTGTCAAATGACATGAACAGCATTCCCACGTGTGGGCACATATGGCGGACAACAACCACATCTTCAACTTTGAGGGTGCAGAGGTTATTGCCCAGGATTCTACAAAAGGTGGCCAGCTATTCAAAAAGGCCTGGTTGTCAGGTCAATATTCAGTTAACTGATATGTAGAACTACTACCAGCTTATCAAACACTGAGGGAGTGCAAACAACAATGCAAAAAATCAGAACGAGTGCTAGGCATACCATCCATACACAAGACGAATGAAGACAGGAGAAATCTAGGATGCCCACCTATGGAACGACATAGAGCAGTGGTTCTCAACCTGTGGGTCGGGACCCCATTTGGGGTCGAACGACCATTTCACGGGGATCGCCAAACAACACAGTCCGCCATTTTTTCCGCCTTTTCCTTAGCTGTGCTACTCCCTTTTATTCTATTGGCTTTTGAAAGACAATAGAATAGACTCTCTTGAATAGAGTCTAATTCTATTGGCTTTCAAAAGCCAATAGGAATTGTTCAGGCTGTCTCTGCCCTGCTGAGCCCGCCAAAAGTCCCATTCTGCAAACGGTGCTGCACCAGTTGAGTAGTCCTCGACTTACGACCGGTTGAGTAGTCCTTGACTTACGACCTGTTGGGGGTCACGGCATTAAAAAGGTTGAGAACCACTGACATAGAGGGATGGAGGCACTGACATGGTCCAATGCAGGATCAGGGAGGAGATGACGGGTCAGCACGATCAGGATAAAACATGTATTGGAGGAAATATCGCCAGACAGGACCACGCGACAATTTACAGAGGTTACTGGACGAGACAGCACAAGGGGTGATCCTGCAATGACTCTGAGCAATCATAGGCAGCGGAACAAGAGAACGCAAAGAGGGCTACCTACATGTGGGATGAGTGAAGATAGGAGTGATCTGAGATGCTCACCCATGGAGTGGCATGAGACCTCAGTGGGTGGAGGGATGGAGGTATCAACTCGGTCCGTTGTAAGATTGGGGGGGAGATGATGGCTGGTGTGATTAGGACAACATGCAGGATGGAGGAAACTCCTCCAGACGGAACTACCTGGCAACTCACCAAAACTACAAGATGAGGGGACAGAAGGGGTAATCCAGTGGTGACACTGAGTGGCCACACGTGGTGGAATGGATGAGCGCAAGGAACATCACCTACATGCAGGGCAGGGGGAATGGGAGGGGCCCGGGACGCCCACCCATAGAGCAATATGAGATCCCAGTGGGTGGAGGGATGGAGAGATGGATGCGGCCCGCTGTGGGATTGAGGGAGAGAGGGGAGGCCGGTGCAATTAGGGCAACACGCAGAATGGGGAATACATCCCCGAATGGGACCACGCTGCAATCTGCCGAAGCTGCCAGATGAGATCCAGCAATAACTCTGGGTGGATGGGCGGGGCAAGTGAGGGGAGGGAGGGTGCCAGGAGTCAAGAGGATGCAGATGAGTACGGCACGATTACGAACCACACAGCTGATTGAGGGAGAATGAGGGGCGGGTAGACCGGTCACGAGGTCTATGACCAGATTACTAAAACAGCTGGCCATATAAGCAGTTCTTCCAACCATCGACTTTTTACTCTGATGATTTCAGCAGAGGACTGATGAAAGCTTACTATTAAACAGTTTGTTTTATTCATTTATCCCGGAGTTCAGTGATTTTGTTATAGTTTTGATATGAATATACCTGGAATTCGAGTTTTTAAGATAATTAGTATCAGAACCAGGGGCCCATGCAACAGCAAAGAACTATGACTGGCAAGGGGAAGGAATCTCCAACACGATCTGCGCAGGAACTAATGATGGGAGGTGGGGTGCTACACATGCAACAGGGGGGGATGGCCATAGGACAGGAAACATTGGAAGACCATCCCATGGCAATAGGTATCCAACCATGCCCAAAGTGGGAAAGAGAGTGACAACAGGAGAGGCGAGGATCCCTGAACTCACGAATATGCAGACGGATGCGAGACAGCTAGAAGCAATACGGTTAGAGGGGGGGCAAGTAGACCGGTAACACACTCCATGAGCAGAGTGCAAAGGCAGTTAGTCTTATAAGCAGACTTTTGAACCTCTGGCATTCCACTCTGTGTTTCCTGGAACTCTTGAATTCTACAAGCTTCATTCAGGGATTCCAGAGACAAATTCTGTTTATATTGTACTACTGCAATATTAATTGTAACATTTAGTTCTAATAAAATATATTACGTGAAATATTTATTAATAAATTCCACATTTATTTTTTACATTGAGAAGAGTTCCTTGGGTATCCAAAGTTTGAAGACTTGTTGTAAAACATTTTTCTCAACCTTAGCAACTTTAATAGGTATGGACTTCAACTACCAGAATTCCTCAGCCAGTGCTCACTCAGGCATACAACTGTTGTGGGAGAATATTTAAAAATAAAAATAGATGTGCTTTTAGTATTATCATGTAATCATATTTTATATTTTATAATTATCATTGTATAATCAATTGTCTGAGTAGATGCTTTGAGTATATAGGGAACATACAAGCCTCAGGTGGAGGAAGGGGGGAGAACAGGAGTTACCATGGGGCCCAGTGTGAGTCACCATCTAGGAATTGTTTTTAAGTACCTTTTGGTGCCTGGTACCCCTACTGGATCTAACAGGTGTAGAAGATGGGAGACATCTCTCCTCTAGAATTGATATAGGATAGTAGGAGAGGGATCGTATTAATATAATGTATTCTGTTTAGGCGCTTCTGATAGATTGTAACCTCCAAAGCCTAAGCCAATGGGGCCATGGGGGAGGGAATGGGGTGTCGCGATAGGATGTATAATAATATGTGATTTTGGAATTTGGGGTGTGGTTCAGTGCTTGGCTACATTGCATTGCCTTCCTGAATCCACCACGCTTTGCAAACCGTTATTTTTTTAGACTTGGATGTGAAGTCTAATAAACTTCTTTTCTATTTGTAACTCAGAGTGGATTTCAATTTGTGACTATTTTTGTGTCTAACACTGTCACCAAAGAATTAATAGCTAGATTAGGACAACCATAGCCTATGAATATTTAAGTGCAAGTGGAATTTTTCTAAGACATAGATAACATCTTCACCTTTCAGTCTCTCTACTGCCATTAGATCCTGATGCATACAAACTTAAGTTTGTATTGTCTATCTACAAGAAAATCAAAACAAACCTGTCTAAATGCTGAAAACAAAAGTTTTCTTTTCTAACCTTATTCCTGCTCTGTAGTCCTTCCATAATTATAGAAAACAAGGCCCCACAATGTCAGAATACATTGCAGACAAATCTATTTGTATCTTACTTTGTTACTAAATTAGGCCTACCACATCTGGCTTGCAAAACTCTGGAGGCCTAGTAGATGGCAGGAAAAAAGGACTTTCCCCATTATTGTTATTTAATCTTCTCTTCTTTAAAACAAGCAAAAGAGTAAATTCATGTGCAATATGAAACTATAGAATGATCAATTTGATTTTGCTTAACGTGGCATATGAATGCAGCCACTGTAGTTTGTAAATCTTGATGCTGCCTTAATATGTTGTGAACCCAGTCACCATGGCTTATATAATAAAATTGTGAAAGTCCAATATATAAACTCAGTAAACATCTATCAAATACTGGTCTGTAAGTCATTACAGAACCTTGTACAGCTAGTCTGCAAAGGGAGGGAGAGCTATGTTTGTTTCTGAGTAGCCACTATTCAAATTTAATAGCTTGTTATTACACAGGTTTGCAATTGTTCGAGTCTTTCATCTTCGACATTCTTCTGATGCTACACTACCTACATTTTAGCTTTCCATTACATCTATGCAAACATCCTGCATGTTGGAAAACACACCATTACAGAGTTCATATTCCTAAAGTGGGTTGTGATTTAAAAGCCTAGTGAAAGTATGGATACCAAGTCTTATGTCTCCATGCTAATATAGAAAGGCAGATAAGAAATAATTTTGCAATTAAAGTCAGAGATGCTTCAGTGCAAATTCAGAGCCTCTAGTCTAGAAACATGCCCCTCTACTTGAGGAAGGTAGAAGAACAACTGTATTAAAAAGAGCCATTTCCAAGGAGGGGCTGAAAGTTCAGATCCAGCAGAGGCCGCCCGTCCCCTCCCCTCTGGAAGAGTTGCTCTGGTCCCTTCGACGTCCACGGCCGACGCTGCCGCCTCCTCCCTTTCAGTTCCCTTGCCTTCCTACGCTTTCCGAAACTCAGGGACAGGACAGAAACTTAACAAAAATTACCAACTAAAAGAAACCGCGTTTGAACTTTCTCTCGTTGCGCTTCTTTTGCATTTTCAGATCTCACCGAATGCTAACTCAGCTCCGTGCAAGATGAAGTTAGCCTGCATCTTCCTTATTTTCCTATTTCAGGACTGTTTTCTAATAAAGAGGGTTCTCGCTCAGGGATCAGAAATATCCAACAGAGTAATAGCCTTCCAAGGTAAGAATATGTTTCTATGGTTCTGGTTTCTCCAGTTATGTGCGTACTTTAATGGACTGAAAAGATGAATCTGTTAATCGTAACCCAGCGCCACCGTTGCCGTACTCTTTCAGTACAGATTTTTGATCGTGGTATTTTGTTTAAACTTTTCCTTATATACGATTTTTACAAACAGAAGATTAGGTGCAGGGTAGCAACATGCATCCCCCCGTGATAAATAAAGAATATCCGTGGTACAGTTTTGGAGAGAAGTAGAGAACTTTTTGTGCCCCACTCGCTATAATATAAAGGCGAGCTATAGGTAAAGAATATGCGTCTGGTAGGCTTTCGAAGTATGTGCAGTATGCATGCCTTGTAAGATTTTGATTTCAGTGATCAATTGAACAGCCACGACAAGTAATTTTAGCTGAAGAAATAGGCAGAACTGATAAGCAAAATAAAGAACATTATTTTATAGAACAAAAAACATCTCTTTGAAAAAGCTTTGAAAAAGCCCTGAAAAACAATGCAGAAAAGTGACCGGATTTGAATTATGGATAGTAAAGTAAAAAGGGGAAGGAGAGAAAATGTTTCCATTCTTGTTTGTCCTAAATATAAAGTCAAAGAAGTAGAGAAGAAATAAATAAGAATATTTTTCTGTAAATATATTTTTAAAAAGTACATTTAACATAGTCAATGTGTAATATATCATATTTGAGTAACTACTGCAAACTTTTAGAAAACAACTTCTCCAGTATACAACTGGAATGTGTGATTTTTACCTGCTGATTCTGAAGGTTGTGAATTTTGTGAAAAGATTGCAATAGGCCACCCATGTATGCAAACATAATCTTAAATGCATGTAGGATTTTGCCCTGCTGAGAGGCAGTCAGCCATACAGCCCCTATTCTCCATTGGTAGGTCTCTACCCATATTAACATCCCCATCATTCTAGTGATCCTGTCAATTATGTTTGATGCTGGAGGTGAAATTACATTCTCTTAAATTATATAAATTCCTTCAAGTGGGTTTTCTTTTCTTTCCTTTCCCTGTGTTTCCAAAGCTCCTTGTATTATTGCTTGTATACCTAGATGCATTATCTTACAAATATATACATAGATTATGTAGTGATTATTCTCCTACTAGTTTTCTAAGGGTGGAGTGAGGCTAAGAGACCCTAGTTTATCTAGGCCACCAAGTGACTTCAAAACAAAAACAAGCCTATATAATTCATTGATGAGGTTGCATTGATGAGTAAGCCCCAAGGAACAAAGGAGGTCTTATTTTTGAATAAATCTGCAGTGTTCTGTGACTACAGTTTCTTTCCATGTATTTTGATGCATTGCAAACTTTCTGATGAATCTTAATATAAAGATGTTAACATTTTATTTCTAAATTGCCCATTTCTTAATTTTAACAGATTGCCCGGTGGATTTGTTTTTTGTCCTGGATACCTCTGAGAGCGTTTCCTTAAGGGTAAAGCCTTTTGGTAAAGCCAACGTTGACAAGATCAAAGCATTCACTAATCAATTCATTGATAAATTAAATGACAGGTACTTATTGTATACTCAGAATTTCTTGAATGTGGAAGTCATTGTAAACAGCATTATTATACTGATTTTGAAAGCTCTTTCTCTTGACCACCCTGCTCTTTTTCTCTCTCCCTCTGTCTCATACCTCTAACATGCACACACGTGCACAGACATGTGCACAGCAAGAAGAGATAGTGATTTGTGGAGAGGCCATCATGGAAATCAAAATGGGCCTACAATGTCTGGGCAGTCGTAGACTGCAGAAGCCTGCACAGAACTACAGAACAGCATTTGGATGGATGTTAGTATTTTTCAATTATCGTAAAAGGATCTGACATTTTCCGAAGAATTAGAATAAGCAGAACTTTTGCATTCATTCTTACACTCTAATTAGCAAATAATGGTGATAATGTTCTAAAATGTTTCTTCAAAAAGTTCCCTAGTCATTAATTTCCATTTCTTTTACAGAGTTTGCTGTTTCCATAAAAAACATTTCTTTTACAGACTTTGCTGTTTCCAAGAAAACATTTTTTTTTCATATATTCCTGGAGCCAATTTTTTTCTGTTGCTGTTCCTTTCTGAGTTGGAAGTTGTGTTGAAAAATGTTCAAGGGAGCTGAATTTTAAAGTCAGGAGACAGCAATAGAAACAATTTTTAGAAGGCAATTTTAGTAAAAATTCCAAATCGTATATTTTGAAATAGTATATTTTATCTTTTTTTGGATTTGGCCAGATCCTAACCCCATAACCCTAATTTGCTTATTACTTATTTTTTCACTATTTAGGTGGCCAACATAATATTAAAATGCAACAAAACCAACTCATAATAAAAAAATATTACTGTGTTATGACAAGAAGTAGTCTCCCTCCAAACTGCATTTGGACCTTCCACAAGTTTATGGACAATTTTGATGCTTTTTTGGGCTGAATAAAAGCAGTTACTCTACAAAACATTGGTCCTGTGTTTTTATGTTTATTTTTTGAGTGGGAAGGAAAGGAAAGAGCTGAACAACTAAAAGAGGCAGACCAGTTCTGGGGAGCACCCCGATGGAGCAACCAGGGCCAAAGGTGGTGGTAGGTACCCATCAGATATCTGTTTTCTTCTCTGTGGGTTATGGAAGAGATCTAACGCTTTGGCCAGAGAAGAGACAGCACAAGTTAGGGGACCATTTTCAGATGAAGAAGATCTGAATTATGCTTTCCATTGGTGTGAAGAAAACCTCTGAATAGGGTCAAGCAAATGAATCACTCTACTACCATCAGTCTGGTTCCGTGCTGCAAAAGCTAAGACTATAGAAGTCAAGCAAAGTCTTATTTTTCCTCTCAGGAAGCAGAAGTCACAAAATAGCAATCTGAATGCCATTACAGGACATCAACCACAATGATTAGTGCTGCTAGCATTTGATGGAGCCTGTACTGGAGTCCTGAAGTAACTCTTGTCCAATCTCAACAGAAGTGTCCTGTATGGGCTCAGCTGCAGGGGACAGAATCATGTATGGAATAGTCAGGCGACTTGCCTTGCAGTGATAGAAAAAAATTGGCTATTGTCTGGTTTCATCATTGCTCATGCTGAAGATGAGGTGTATGTTCCCTGGGAATATCACATCATTGCTGAAGTTCTGCCTCATTGTGGAGCCTCAAAAGCTAAGATAAGTTCATTCACTTGGAGATTGATTGCTGGAAGACATTTCACTATAGAACTGAAAATATAGGCTGCTATTGGATAACCCAACAGATCCAGCCTTACACAACATCTTCTGATTTGAACTGAGGAGGAGGTGCCTCCTGGGCTGTATAAATACATTCTTTCCTGTGGAATGAACTGCTATAGTTCTATAACTTTACATCCATAATCTTCATCCATATTCACTGTCCTGATTTGTCCCACTTTCTCATTTTTTCTCAGATTCCTGTTTACCAGGAATCTATTAAAACAAATAATATTTTACTATAATGGAGGCAAAAAAACCTGTCCACTCATCCTCTCTTTTTTTTTACAGGTACTATCGGTGTGACCGAAATCTAGTGTGGAATGCAGGCGCCTTACATTACAGTGATGAGGTGGAACTGATCAAGAAACTTACCCGGATGCCCAGTGGGCGAGCAGACTTGAAGAACCGTGTGTCCTCAGTAGAGTCTATTGGGAAAGGCACCTATACTGACTGTGCCATTAAGGCAGGGCTTGAGGAACTACTCATTGGGTAAGTGGGAGCCATAGTTTCTTATTGCATGAATAGAGAGAAGGAAAAATTTGCGTGGAGGTTCACACACTTTTAGAAGACAGAGAGACCTTAGTCATTGCTACCATCCTTCTTTTTTTTATAACAAGTTTTAATTGGTTTTCCAGTTTTACATTTAAATATTTGGAAAGCAGCGTGGTGATTGGGTAATCAATAGTACAATAACAAAATCTTTAGTACATATCTCAGCTTACATCATCAAAAAAATCCTTCTCTATTTCCCTTAATGTTTGCTATATCATATTTAAGCTAGTAAAATTCTAATTATAACAAGCTCAGTTAAAACATTTATCATTATATTTTACTTATACATATCTATATCCTGTATTAAATTTTACCTAATTTTTAATTTTAAATTATAATATTCCAATTTAACCTTTAAATATCCATAGTGTTTAAATTTCAGGTAACCCAAATTTCCTTTATTTCACTATATAAAAATTATAATATCTAAAATATACCTATTATTAGTTGGATATATTCTTATTTTATTTCATAAACATTTTCTATTTCTCATCCTGATACATCACTACTTACTAATAGAGTATCCTTCATTGTCTCAAATCCATCATCTATGTTATCTGGGCTAAACAATAATTCGAAGCTATTCCCTAATAATTTTCATTTCCCTTATAAATCTAAACCTTCATTAAGCCAATTAATCCCTTATTTTTTATCATTTTCCAACAATAATTAACTCTAGTAACCGTATTTCTCTTCATCTCAAAATCTCCTTTCAGCCCATTAGTTGAGACTTTAGGATGCTCTCTAATAAATCAAAAGACCCTATTTTTTAAGTCTAACTCTAGTGTTCTTTTTATGCCAACCAGGCTTCCATACCAATGCCTTTAGATCATCAGATGGATCTCCCTTCATTCTTGTGCATGTTACTTGCATCAAAGAAGACCATCTAGTGATCAATTTTCCAGAGGAATTGGCCCATTTATGGTCATTAAGTTGTCGCCCTAGTAACCCAGATCCCCATATTTGCTCTAACATATTTGTCTTCAATTCAGTCTGGTCTTGTTCCTCAGATTTCTTCTGGTCTAAGTAAAAAGTCATGTCCAATTTTATGGTGGTTGTTTGGTTGTCAAGGTTTTCAGTAAGCTGTACTTGTTGATCTTTAGCAGCCTCCATTTGGTATTACTTCTGCTTCTGATGTTTTTTGGGTTGTAGATTCTTTAGTTGCAATCAGGATTTGGTTGTCTAGATTTTCAGTACATTGTACTTGTTGTTCTTTAAAGTCCTCTGTCTTGGTATTAATTTCTTCCTCTTCTGTTGTTTTTTTGAATTAATTTCTTCCTCTTCTGTTTTTTGAATTATGAGTTCTTTGGTTGCAATCAGGGTTTTGCTTTGTAGATTTAAGCTGGCGCCTTTGTCTTTCAGTCTAGCTTTAATTATCTCAGTAGCTTCAAGAATTTTTTCAAGTATAAGTTTGTAATTAAGTGAAATTTGTTGCTGGTCCTCCTCCATTTCTGATGTAGTTATAGACAGTCCTTTAGTGAAGGCTATTTACTAAGTGAAAGTCAATAAGTATTCGCCTCCACAGTCCTAAAAAGCAGTTTCACCGCCCAGCTGTTCTCTCAGCTTTTAATCTCTTTAGATAATACCAAGGACAGATCTGGGCTATGAGCAGGTCTTTTTGTCAAGAATATTCATTTGCTGTACCAGGTTTTGCCACAAGATGTCATTGATAGCATTTAAAATCCTTTTCAAATCCTAGGCTAGGTTTTTATCCAGTTTAAGTTCTTTTCCATGTTTTTTACAAGTAGCAAATCCCCGTGAAAGTAGGAACTTTTGGATCCCAAAATATCAAAAAGAAGCAAATCCAATTATTTAGTAGTTCTTTTCAAGGCTTTATTTTCCCAAGTAGTCAGACGCCATCATTTTAGAGGGTGGGAGGAAAGTGTTCCCTTCCCTCTCTCTTCGCAGGGGAAAGAAATTTCAAGAAGCTTTTAACAGGAAAAATACTTAGGGTAGAAAGAAGGTAGGATTTCACTCAATTCCTGCGCGGTGCTTTCAAAGTGCATGTTAGTAATTTTGGCCTCGGCTGGAGTGGCTTGGTGATGGGCCATATTAATGGTCGATCTTTTCCCCGTCAGTTTAAAGAGTTGCCCAGGATCAAACAGAAGACCTGCCGCCCTCTGCGATCGCTCGGGAGTCCTCTTCATGCTCGTTGCCTCTCCAGGGCAACTTCTGACCCTTTACAGGGTCCCCCGGCGGGAGAAAACCGGATGGCGGAGGGAGCGATTGCTCTACATATCCGCCAGCACTGCGATCGCAAACCGGAAGCCATTGCTACCATCCTTCTAACTCTAGAGGCCCAGCAACTATAGTAAACAAGAGACTTAAGAGAGAATTCCAACTACAGTATATTTGTGCAAAAAAAATAACCAATAGTGTTTGAATTTCTGTGGGCGCTTCATCACAAGAGGTTTTTAAAAAGGGATTGGACAGCCATTTGTCCAGAATGACATAGAGTCTCGTGCTTGAGCAGAAAGTTGGACTAGGTTGGACTCCAAAGTTTCTTCCAACTCTTATTCTGTTATTCTGTTCTTTGTGGAAAAGCTTGGGATACTTTACATAGTATTTGTTTTATAAAACTTTAATTTTTACCAGTTTTCATGTTTTTAATGTACTTCCATCCCCTTCACTCTTACACATTATAAATATGTACACTTCCTTTGGAAATGTCAAAATCATTTGACCCTAGATGATCCTAAGAGGATGCCCACTAAAGGATCATTGGGACAAGGCCTGGAGCAAGCCCAATTAGCTCTTTGGGAGGGGGCAGGATGGGAAACTAACAAATTTAATAAATAATTTTTTAAAATGCAGAAGAAACAGCTGTTTTGCACATTTCCACAAACCTTTTTCAGGAGCTGAAGCTAAGTATTTCAGCGTTTACATTGAAATGTTTACAATAATATGCCATGTTTCAAGGTGAGCAGCAGGGTGTCTCTGCATCCATAAATCTCATCTGTAGCAAAATGAGAATAATTTTTCATTGTTAAGATGTAAGCGTACAGCCATCAATAACATACGTATTTTCCATTAAATTTGTATTCTTCTTCCGAGCAGAATGATGCTTTTATATGGAAGACCCAGGCAGTCTTTCATGGAGGAAGCAGTTCTTATGTGAGCTTTTATATGTGAGTCAATGAGTGAAATGGAGTTTTTCTCTGTTAAAAGAGGAAACATTCATGTCCAAGGTGAAATGTTGAGTTGGAATGTGTTCCATCTCTGTGTGTATCTGTTTATCTGTTCACAAATTAAATATTTGTCCTTGGTCTAATATTACTTATCTTAAGATTTGGCTTTCTTTTATTTGGGGAAGAGTAGTCTATTTTGGTTTTCTATTTAAACTACAACAAAATTGTGCATAATTTAACAAAAAGTTATCATTTTCTGAAAGTTGTAGAAGTATCAGGAATGCATAAAATTGTTACTATATTTTGTGTGTGTTTGTGTGTGTGTGTGTGTTCTGAGGTTTTCGCGGGTGTTTGCATGTAGGTCTTTGGTTGTTCGGGTTTTCTCCCGCGTAAAATTGGAAGTGTCTTGGCGACGTTTCGACGAAGTCCCATTCGTCATCGTCAGGCTGGTGTTTTCAGCTTCGTGCTTCGAGCAGCAATGTGTGGTCTTAGCTGTTTCTTCCTTTTAACTGCCAGTGGGGATATGAACTGATTGGGTGGGAGCTTGGCTGTGTTCTGATTGAGTGGAGGTGTGTTCTGATTGGTTAGGGGCTTGGCTGTGCTCTGATTGGCTGGGTGGTTGGCTGTGCTCTGATTGGCTGGGGGAGTGTTCTGTTTGGTTGTGCTCAGGTTAGTCTGAGTTGCAGGGGGGGTTAAGATTTTGGGCTGCCTTGCTATTTTTTGGCTTCGCGTTCGTGGTCGTGCCTCATCTTCATGGAGGGTGTCAGTTTGCTTCATGTATGGATTGGAGGGGTTTAAAGTGGCTAATGATGCAGCTGTGGTCTGGCTTCTGGTTTGTGGTCGTGCCTCATCATCGGTGTGGCTTTGGGTTTGCTTTTTGCGTGGATGTGTGGTGGTGACATCCTGTGTGGTTTTTGTGAGTGTGGGTCTGGTATCATTTTTTGTGTTAGGGAGTCGTTTGTCAATAAGGGCGGGTTTCCAAATGGCTGGTAGGCGGGAGGTATCATCTCGCTTGTTCATGCTGTGTGGGCGTTTTTCTATCTCGATGGCTTCTCTGATTATTCTGTTATTAAAATGTTCACTTTTGGCAATGGTTCTGGTATTTTTAAAGTCAATTTCATGTCCTGTGGCTTTAAGGTGTTGGACCAGGGAAGATGTTGGTTCCTCTTTTTTGATTGAAGAACAAAAGAACTCAATCAAAAAAGAGGAACCAACATCTTCCCTGGTCCAACACCTTAAAGCCACAGGACATGAAATTGACTTTAAAAATACCAGAACCATTGCCAAAAGTGAACATTTTAATAACAGAATAATCAGAGAAGCCATCGAGATAGAAAAACGCCCACACAGCATGAACAAGCGAGATGATACCTCCCACCTACCAGCCATTTGGAAACCCGCCCTTATTGACAAATGACTCCCTAACACAAAAAATGATACCAGACCCACACTCACAAAAACCACACAGGATGTCACCACCACACATCCACGCAAAAAGCAAACCCAAAGCCACACCGATGATGAGGCACGACCACAAACCAGAAGCCAGACCACAGCTGCATCATTAGCCACTTTAAACCCCTCCAATCCATACATGAAGCAAACTGACACCCTCCATGAAGATGAGGCACGACCACGAACGCGAAGCCAAAAAATAGCAAGGCAGCCCAAAATCTTAAACCCCCCCTGCAACTCAGACTAACCTGAGCACAACCAAACAGAACACTCCCCCAGCCAATCAGAGCACAGCCAACCACCCAGCCAATCAGAGCACAGCCAAGCCCCTAACCAATCAGAACACACCTCCACTCAATCAGAACACAGCCAAGCTCCCACCCAATCAGTTCATATCCCCACTGGCAGTTAAAAGGAAGAAACAGCTAAGACCACACATTGCTGCTCGAAGCACAAAGCTGAAAACACCAGCCTGAAGATGACGAATGGGACTTCGTCGAAACGTCGCCAAGACACTTCCAATTTTACGCAGGAGAAAACCCGAACAACCAAAGACCTACATACAAACACCCGCGAAAACCTCAGAAAACACACACACACACACATATATATATATATGTGTGTGTGTGTGTGTGTGTGTGTGTGTGTGTGTAGGAAGTTTTTCAGACAGATGTCTAATTGATTACACCTTGACATTTTTTTAACTGCTATACTGCAGTTTTACTTTTTACAATCTCTTTTGCCTTGCAGCCCCCAACTAGGGGCATTAAGCAGGCTCAAGTCGCAACTGCGAAACATTACAAATCCAAATTAGTGGTTAATTAGTGGTTAAATCACTGCCTAGTATGTAAACTGCCCAGGTTCAAATCCCATAAAAGGTGTGGCTAACTGACGAGAGCAGAATGAGCTCGAAATGGCCATCTTAGTCTCCCAATTTAATTCTTTAATTCTTTGTCAGAAAAAGAAATATATATATGTATATATATGTCTGTGTATATACATATATATATGTGTGTGTGTGTGTCTGTTAGGGTTAGGAATTTTAAAAAATAAAATTCTTAATATTTAGCAAACAGCATGTTGTTGGGTACATGTATTTAAAAAGAAACAATGAGTAGTCGTTATCATAAACAATATGTTAATTAATTGCTCAATAGTCTTCTTACTAGTATGTATTCAGTGTTACATATCACATTCCTTTCTCTCTAAATCGTTTTTCTAGCCATTGATAAAAATTATCCCATGTTCTAAAATACACTGAGTCTTCTTTTTCTTTTATCTTTAAAGTCAATCTATCCATTTCTGCACGCTCTAAAATGTTCTTAATTAATTCTTCTTCAGTTGGTAAATATTCATTTTTCCAGTGTTGGACAAATACAATTCTTGATGCAGTTAGTACGTGTAAAATTAAATATATACAGTCTTTGTCATAATTTGCTCCTATTATTCCTAACAAAAATAATTCTGGCTTAAAGTCTATTTGTTTTTTAGTCATTTTCTCCAACCATAAATGTATTTTTGACCAAAATCTTTTAGCTTTAGGGCACGTCCACCAGGTATGGTAATAAGTACCTGGTTTTTGTTTGCAATTTCCAACACTTTTTTGAAGTATTTTTTAACATTTTTGCTAATCTCATTGGTGTTAGATGCCATCTGTAAAACATTTTATATAAGTTTTCTTTATATGCCACTACTTTCGTTAATTTAGCATTTCTTTCCCATAACTTTTGCCAGTTTTCTAATTCTATATTATGTCCAAAGTTCTTTGCCCATGTTATCATTGTTTCTTTTACTTGTTCTTCCTCCATCTTTAAGCTTAACAGATATTTATAGAGTTTCTTAATCAGTTTTTCGTCTGTTTTTAACAGTATCTGGTCAGATTCTGTCCGTTCTTTATAATATTCCATTGTTTTAACATCTTTTTCATATTGTTATGGTTCCGGCTAATGAAACACTTCAAAGAATTTCCAGGCATTTATTTTCCTAAAAGTCAGTGATTGTTACAAAATGTCGGCACAGGCATAACCAGGGATGCTAGGATCTTAGTTCTCTTTCTCCCAGCAGTTAAATTATCAGCATGTTCCCTCCCTAAATTAGCCTTCATATATCACATTATCCAATTAGTGTGAAGGTCAGAGGTTTCTTTCTCTCTTATGCTCTGCATTAACTCTAAAAATACCAGACAGTTCTGCATATTGTCAAAGCAAGAATATACAGTATTTGCAGCATTGATAAATATCTCGTTTGGATTTGCAAGTATGGCCACCATGATAGATCAATACCTTGTTCTTGTAAGTCTTGTCTGTCTTTCAATTTCCCTTCCTTGTCCAAAATATCTTCATAGGTCACACCTTTGTCCTAGTTAATTAAATTTGGGTAAGCAAATGCTTCCATTGTTGAAAGCCATCCAGGTATCTTGATATAAATTTTCGCTTTTATTTTTTCCCATTCTAAAAGAAGTGCATTTCTTATAAGATGGTTTTGAAAGTATGAATTTTATTCTTCCCATACCACAGAAAGGCATGCCAACCAATTTGTAGGTCATGCCCCTCTAGGTATAATAGTCTTTTATCTCTAAGCATTATCCATTCTTTAAGCCATGTTAATATAGTTGCTTGGTAGTATAACATCCAGCCCGGCACTTTCTTTCACTTCTTGTAGCATTTTCAGTCTGATTCTAGCTTTTTTCCTTGCCAGCTATTCTCCCCAACATTGAAAGTTGTAAGTTTTTCCACTTTTCCAAGTCCAATTTTATTTGTTTTACCAATCTTACATAATTATCTTCTTTTATTGATGCACATCTTGTTGGTAAATAAATTCCCAGATATTTAACTTTTTTAACTACGGTATTTAAAGATTTGGGGTTTTTTGCTAGTTGGTTTTTTTGTTTTTCTGTTAGATTTTTTGTTAGCACTTTAATCTTTTCTCTGTTTATTTTCAACCCTGCCACTTTTCCAAATTTTTCTATTTTCTCCATATGTTTAATGCTTTATAAATCATTACAAGATATACTAAGCCCAATATTGAAAGAACTGTGCAATGAAATGCTTTTGGAAGCTAAAATACCAAATACATGGACTGAAGCCAGTATTACCTTAATACCCAAAGAAGATTCTGATCTAACGTAAATAAAAAACTATAGACAATATCGTTATTAAATATAGATTATAAATTTTTCACCTCAATAATAGCAGAAAGACTAAAGAAATTTCTGATCGAATGTATACATACAGACCAAAATGGCTTTCTACCTAAAAGACAGATACAAAATAATTTAAGAATGATTCTAGATGTGTTAGAGTACTATGAAATTCATCCAGGAAAACAGATGGCTTTAATATTTCTTGATGCACAGAAAGCGTAATGTAAACTATAAACTGGCAATTTATGTTTCACCAACTAGAGGAAATGGACTTGGAGAAAACTTTATAAATGTAATTAAAACAATTTATTATAAACAAATAGCCAAAATAATTGTAAATGGAGATTTTACAGAAAACTTTGACATTAAAAAAGGCACAAGACAGAGATGTCCACTATCTCTATTATTATTTATACTAACGCTGGAAGTATTGAATAGAAACATCGGACAAGATATAGAAATTAAAGGCCTGGAGATAAAAGATGAAAACTACAAACATTTACAGATGACTTGGTTTTTTATTGGAAGAACCGGTTGAAACAAGCAGGAAATCCTCAGATACTTAAAATATCTTTGGAAAGAAATGATTATCATTTATTAGGTGACTTTATGCAGCTAGACATATCTGTAACAGTACTACAAAATAGTGGTAACTGAAATTTCAATGAAATAAAGAACTATATCAATACTAAGTATATGCATGTACTTTTGCAACTGAGTACTAGTATATCTTTTCTCATGCTGCAAAATCAGATTAAGATAGCATTCAGGTAGACTTTTAAATATGAACTCTACTTATTTAAAATGTTTCATTGAGACTTCTACCTCTGTACTGAGTGCCACATGTCTTCTGAAGGTTTTATTCTTCAGGGCAAACAGTTATAGCACAGTAGGGATCGACTTCAGTCCATAGATTTGAACCTTGTCTTTCCCAGGTAGTCCTTTTTTGTCTCCATTGATATCTCCCATCCCCAGCTACCTGTACTAGTTTTCTGATTTATAAGGTAGAAACCCTTTTAGCCTTAAGACTTTACTGATATATCAGCAGATATTATCATTAACATGGTTATTATTGTTGTTGTTGTATTTTTATCCCACTTTTGCCTTCTCTATCTCTCTGACTCTATGTTTCTGTGCCTGTCTTTGTCTCTCAACTCAGGATAGCATAATAAACTAGAAGAAAAGACAAAACTCCAGAGCAACCGTTTAGAATTGTGATGTGATGAGAGTGCACACTTATTTAATATGGTTTGTTCTTCATTGACTGATTTTAATTTTTTCAGCGGATCTCATCATAGGGAAAATAAGTATCTTATTGTGGTGACAGATGGACATCCCTTAGAAGGTTACAAAGAGCCCTGTGGAGGACTGGAAGATGCTGCCAATGAAGCAAAGCACCAGGGGATCAAAGTGTTTGCTGTTGCTGTATCTCCAGACCATCTGGTATGAAAAGTATGAAAACACATGGACAATATTAGAGCAATCACTGTCAATAAATAGATAGTCCAGGGACAGCTCTTGCTTTAGAGTTATGCTTATTCCTATGATTTTGCATACTGTGGCCAACCACAGAGGTGGCACCCTTTGCTCTAAACCAGGGGTGTCAAACTGCTGGCCCATGGGCCAGATGCGTCACGATAAAACCACGCCCACCCCATTGCTAGCAATGAGAAAAAAGTCATGATACATCGCGACACGTCACGTGACATGAGTTTGACATCCGTGTTCTAAAACTTGAATATAATAATCAGAGGTGCTACCCTCTTTGTGCAGTATTTCCTAAAAATATATTGGTTCTAATTTAAGCTGGGTGAAAAAAACTCAAATTTGTTGATTTTAAAGGTGCAATATGTCAGATGCCTAATTATGCCAGGTTAGATAAGATACACATGCTAAAGTGAATAAAACCTTGGGTAATCTTTGAAAAGAGTCATTGGCAATTCTTATTAAATGGCTGTTCAGATATTTCAGTTAGTAGCAAATCTTTACAAGAAAATAGTTGATAGTTATGAGTCAATCAGTAAGAAAACGTTTCCATGCATTCTTTCAACTGATGTGTGTGCTGTCAACGCTGCTAACATTGGATGTTCTTGCTTGACAACAGATGGAAATGTAGCCATCTTTTCTCTTTCTCTTTTAGAGTTAGTTAGTGCTGGGAGGGTGAATGTGGATGAGAGTCTAGTTAGTCATAGCAGTAATAACTCAGCCATGGGAATCCAAGGTTATTGCGCCCAGAATTGATAAAGATTTGGCGGGCTGGAGAACTGGGGAGAAAGGCCACGCTTCAAGCTAATTGGGGAATGTGATTTATGACTGTTAATTGGAGGAGGGAATTGTGACCAGGGGAGGGGAATTCAGTTTTTGGTTTTAACTATGTAGTGTCAATACTTTGTTTCTCAAATAAAAGATTCTTTAAGGTAAACAATGCCTTGAAGTTCTTTTGAATAGTTTCATCTGTCGGTACCATGACATTAAGCCCAAAACCCCAATTTTTACCGAACTATCTTGGGGTTCCAAGCCCCAGTCGCTGTCCCTAGAATTGAGGGATAGACCGACAAAGATTCGGGGAAGATCTCAGCATGGAGAAAGAAAGAGCACATGAAACCAGCACCCCGGTGGCGGCTGCTACTCCAGAGGGAGGAGCGCAAGCCAGTGCACCATTGGAGAAGGAACTTTTTCAGGCCTCCCAGTTGGGGGCAAGGCCCAAGCCGCGAGGACAGTTAATCTGGTCATTGGAATGGACCCTACCCAGTAGAGATTCCAGACATCTCAAGACGGCCTTGCCACAATCAAGTGCTTTAAAGGCAGACGAGGTTGAGCTGCAAAGAGGGGATTTCCTCATGTCGCGTTCCCCAGACTGGTGGACAACCACAAAATCATTTACCACTGAGGACTTGGGTGAGTGGAAGTACCTGTCTGCAGTCCATAGTCAGTCAGTGGAGAAGTTGGTGGAAAGATTTGAGAAGCTAGAGATGAAGAGTGGAGAACAACCTTCCCATTCCCCATACACGAGCGATCATGATGATCGGCAAGGCAGCCACTAACTCCTACCAAGGGGAACTCCCAGTCCCACCTGTGCAGATCAGGCAGCCTCCCCATCCTCGAAGCCACCGACCATGCCTCCAGCTCCACGGGGAGAGATAGCTCCAGTTGTCACCCTCCAAAAGCCCAGATCGCCACCGACGGGATAAGAGCCCGAGCCATCACTGGGACAGCCAAACCCTGGATCGATGCGCTTACCGACTACCCAGCCCAGGGCCCATACAGCAATGGGGAATGTCACAGACACCCCAGGTGGGAAACCAGCAGTCACTGGTGGTACAGCAGCTGAGCTGTAGGTGGCCACAGCCCCTGAATGTACAGCAGCAGATGGGGACCTTGCAACAACCGGGGGTGATACAGCCGCTAGGGGATCGGCAACAGCTGGGGTACTGCAGCAGCAGTGGGGTTGGCCACCACCTCCGAACGTGCAGCAGCCACTTAGGGGCCCGCAACCAATGGGGATCCAGCAACAACCACCTCCAGGTCCACAGTGGGGGCCTGCAGCAACTGGGGGCACCACAACCCCCTGCAGGCCAGCAGCAGTGGGGATGGCAGCAGCCCCGCAGCACCTGCTGGGAGGCCCGCAGCAACTGGGGATGCCATTGCAGCAGCCGCTGAGACTGGTGGGGGTCATACAGCAATTGGGGATGTCATAGCCACTGGTGATGCAGCAACAGCCGTAGGAGTGGCAACAGCCCCCAGACATGCAACAACCGCTAGGAGGCTTGGAGCAACTGGGGATGCTGCAGCCGCCATGGGGGAGCAGCAACAGTTGGGGATGCAGCATCCACAGTGGGGAGGCCAGCAACCACTTATGGTGCCATCTCTTAGAGCAACCTTTGATGGGGACCTGGAGAAGCTGATCTTTTTCCTCAATCAGGTGCGTTCTCACCTGAACCGCTGTGCCTATTTCTATCCAAACCCAGCCGCTATGGTCAATGTGATTACGTCCAGCTTGGAAGGGGAAGCATCCGAGTGGCTGAACAATTTATATAACGAGCAAGCACCTGAGTTGCAGGACCCCATCTCTTCCTCCTAGGACTGAGAGCAAGGTTCGAGGACCCATCCATTGCCCTCAAAGTGGAGGAACAAGTCCATAAAATAAAACAAGCCGGCAGACCTGCACTGGAATACATACAAGAGTTTTGCAAGATAGCCGACTGAATAGAGAGGTGGCCCGAGCAATCCCTAGTCCATCACTTCAAGGAGGGACTAGACCACCTCTCCCAGGCTTGTATCTATTGAGCAGTCCCTGATCAGCTACAAGAATGATACCAGGCAGCCATAAGACTAGACGTTCACCCCACTATAAGAAGCCACCCCCACAAGAAGTCGAGTTGAGGCCAAATCAATCCAAACAACAGCCCCCCCCGAAAGCCTCCAACCGCTGCAGCTACTGAAAATCCCAGACCACCTGCTGGCCCACCGATCAAGTGTTTCAGATGTGTTGCCCAGTCCCTTACTCTCAGCAGCAAAATAGACCAGGACCACCAGTGAGAAAGAAACCAACCCAGCAGCCAACGAAAGAGAAATCCAACTGGACCACGCAGGAATCTGTTGCCCAAGTCACATTCCCCACGCAGGAGAGTGCTGAGACCCAAGCTCTACCCTCCTACGATGCAACGATGGAGAGAATGACCCGATGGTGAGTCGACACACCCCACCTTTCTCACTACCTGCCAACTCATAACTCCTAAGACACAGGTAGATTTAAATGTACTAGTTGATTCCGGATGCTCCCGGTGTATTATTAACTTGTCACTTTCCCTGAAAATGGACATACGAGCAAGGCTGCTCTCCAAACTTGTGAGATTTGAGCAAGCCGATGGCTCCCTAATGAGAGGAACTTTAGTCACACAATTGACTGACCCCTATGCTTAGAAATAAGTGAGCACTGGGAGTTCATTTATTTCATGTGGCTCCGAAAATCCGATGAGCTAGCACACATGGCTGCCCTGTCTCAACCAGGCAAGCCACTCATCCTCAGTGAATACCGGGACCTAGGGGAGGCATTTAGTGAGAAAGAAAGCAATACCCTGCCTCCCCACCGACCCAATGATTGCTCTATCGAACTGTTGCCGGGAACCAAACTCCCACGACCGAGAATGTATGCTATGTCCCCCCTTGAGATGGAGGAGATGCAGCAGTATGTGGACAAAAACTTACCGAGGGGATTTATCGAATGGGCCAAGTCTGCCGTGGGAGCCCCAGTGTTATTTAAAGAAAGAAAAGATGGATAGTTTCATCTCTGCATAGATTATAAAGGTATGAACACGGTGAGTGTGGAAAACAAATACCCCCTCCCCCTCCTGAAGGACTTACTGACCCACTTGGCAAAGGGGAGGGTCTTCACTAAGTTGGACTTGAGAGAGGCTTATTACCTGGTGAGGATAAAGGAGGGAGATGAGTGGAAGACTGCTTTTAACTGTCCCACGGGGAGCTACCAATTTAAAGTCACGCCTTTTGGACTGCAAGGTGCTCCAACTGTCTTCATGCAGCTGATTAATCAGGTACTACATGACCATTTATACAAGGAGGTTTTGGTATATCTTGATGACATCCTGATATTCAGCATGAATATGGCTGACTATGTAAAACTAGTGAGAGAAGTGCTAAAGAAACTTTTGAACGCCAAACTTTATGTTAAACTATCAAAGTGTGAGTTTCACCAGACCTGACTGGATTTTCTTGGCTACAGAATTTCCAGCGAGGGCATTGAAATGGACCCGGCCAAAGTGAATTGAATGTCAGCCCCCAAAGACTCACAAACAGCTCCAGAGCTTTCTGGGATTTGCCAACTTCTACTGTCAGTTTATCCCCTCCTTTGCTGAACTTGCCTTACGGAATTACTAAAAACAGGCAAAGCGGGGGGGAAACCTCGTCTGGGCCAACCACTAGCATGGACTATGAACTGTGAAACCGCTTTTAAAAATTTAAAAAGACTATTTGCGGTCGAACCAGTCTTAAAGCATCCTTGCCCAGGGAAGCCCTTTATGATTCAAGCCGATGCCAGTGACATGGCCATCGGAGCTGTGCTACTGCAAAAGAACCAGTGTGGGACCCTACAACCCTGCACCTACACCTCGAAAAAAATTCACTGACTGCGAGAGGAGGTGGGCAGTGTGGGAAAAGGAAGCTTTTGCAATCCGTTGGGCTCTATTAAACTGGCGACACTATTTAGAAGGGAGTAAGGTGCCTTTCGAGGTATGGACTGATCACAAAAACCTAGAAGCAGTAAAGACTCCCCACAAATTGTCCCCAAAACAAGTACGATGAGCGCAGTACTTTAACCTTTTTAATTTCACCCTAAGTACATACCTGTTGGAAAAAAATTCTTAGCTGATGCTCTATCCAGACTGTCCCAGTACAAAAGCCAGAGTGAAGAGGTTAATGAGGCAGTTATCTCCAATCCACAAGCTGCTTTTCAACTTACACTGTGCAGAGTCCCACCTTCAAGAGCCCCTAATACCAATGAGAGCTTTGGTATTAGGTACCCCTAATACCAAAGAAAATAAAATGAGAGCTCCTCACCGACCAATGGTTCAAGGACAATCAAACCTCCCTAACATGCAGGGATGGTTTGGCTTACAAAGGGCGAAAACTATATTTGCCAGAGACCCTCCGCTTTAACGCGCTTTGACACAGCCATGACATAAAACAGGCTGGATGCTTTGGATATTTAAAAACACTACACCTCATCCACAGTCAATTCTGGTGGCCGAGATTGAAACAGGATGTGGAAAATTATGTCGGAGTATGTGCCACCATGAAAAGAATTCCAGGAGAAACCCCTGGGTTATTGCAACCGGTGGCAGACCCTTCCCAACCATGGGAAGAAATTGCTATGGATTTTATAGTAGATCTATCTGAAAGTAGGGGAAACACGGTTATCTGGATTGTGATAGATCTATTCTCAAAGCAGGCTCACTTCATTGCCTGCAAAGGGCTCCCATCCGCCCAACGTCTAACCAAAATGTTCCTGAAACACATCTATAGACTGCGTGGTGCACTTAAATGAATAATCTCTGACCGGGGTGCAGTTCACAGTTAAGTTTTGGAGGAGTTTTCTTAAACTAATTGGCTCATCTCAAGGACTATCATCAGCTTTTCACCCATCTACCAATGGGGTGGCTGAATCGGTGAACTCAGTGGTGGAGTAGTATCTCCAATGCTATGTGGATTATCAACAAACAAACTAGACTGATCGGTGAACTCAGTGGTGGAACAGTATCTCTGATGCTATGTGGATTATCAACAAACAAACTGGGCTGACCTCCTCCCTTTCGCAGAGGGTCTTACAATAACTGTTCACAGCAGCACTGGCTTCACACCTTTCAAAGTGGCCACAGAAAAAGAGTTCAGCCCAATACCTGAATACCCCCAAGCGCCCTCCAATTCCCAGACTCTTGATCAATGGGTGAGGGGATGGGAGGAAGTTTGGAAAACCACGAAAACTGCTTTGAAAAAGTCTTCCGAGACATACAAAAAACAGGCAGATAAAAAAGAGCTCCTCAAATAACATTCCAAGTTGGGGAAAAGGTTTTTCTGTCAACTAAATATTTACAGGTTATGTTACCTAGTAAGAAATTAGGACCGATGTTTTTAGGACCCTTCCCCATTGTAAAGGTCATTAACCCGGTGGAATTAAAACTTCCTAGGCTCTTAGGAAAAGTTCACCCTGTTTTCCATTGTAGCCTGTTGAAACCTTTTCGGGGTTTCACCTTAAGACCTCCCCCTAAGAAGGTACCCGGAGCCCTCGTAGTGGCAGGACAGACTTACTATGAAATAAAGTGCATTCTTGATTCTAGAATTTTTAAGGGGAAATTACAGTACTTAGTACAATGGAAGGGATATCCATTGTCTGAGGCCACCTGGGTGAAATCTAGTGATGTAAAAGCTGACAGACTCATTAATAAGTTCTATAGGAAACACCCTAATAAACCGAGAGGCAATCCCTAACCTGTGCTTTTGTTTACATTACAGGATTTGTCCTTTTTGTAAGGGGGGCCGGAGGTCAACCTGCTAACATTGGATGTTTTTGCTTGATAACAGATGGAAATGTAGCCATCTTTTCTCTTTCTCTTTTAGAGTTAATTGGTGCTGGGAGGGGGGAATGTGGATGAGAGTCCAGTTAGTCAGAACAATAATAACTCAGCCGTGGGAATCCAAGGTTATTGCGCCCAGAGTTGATAAAGATTTGGTGAGCTGGAGAGCTGGGGGGAAAGACCACTTAGGTAACTATAATCAACCTACATCTACAAAGATAAGTGGAATTATATTTGGATCTTCATGTGAAGATTGGGGTACCAACAGTCTGTGCAGCAATTAGATCCAGCTCATTACTAAATTTACAAGCTGACATTGGAATGAAAACATAGTTCTGATTTGGTTTATTTTATCCTAGGAATCCAGATTAAATGTGATTGCTACAGACCATGACTATCGCCGCAATTTCACAGCAACTGTACCACAAAGCGATATTCCAAGAACAATTGACACCATCATTGAAATGATTGTGAGTCTTAGTGTTTCTTTTCTATTTACTAGATCTGCTTGAAAAGAAGATGTAAGGTGTAAGAATACAGTAATAGAGACTCAAGTAAATGAGTTTTCTTCTATCTAATTTGCTTTTCTACAGCAATAATTTTAAATTTAGAGATATTTTCCTTTTGGATAAATGTATCATGCATTGGATATGCTATCTTGATTATTTCTGCTTATTTTATTCCTTATTCTTCCTTTCAGAAAAATAATGTGGAGCATGTGGTAAGTTTTTTCAGTGCCCTTTTGTTCATTCAAGAATCATTTTTATCTTGTAAATTTTCTCTACAAACCTTGAGCTAATCATGCCAATGTTAATCTAAATGCCAGGATTCTCTCCAATTGCCTATTATGTAGTGGAAGGAAACAGCAAAATGTTTTTGTCCCAAGGAATAGAAGGAAGAACCATATCTTGCACCAAATTTACAGCCCTCTGCTCAGATCACAAAGGAGTATTCAAAATCTTAGTTACCTATTCAAAACTTAGGACAGAATAAAATAATTTTGATGACTGATGTAAGCTCTGCAGAAATGTAAATATTTAGAATTTAGATAGTTTTTAAAAGCTTATTTTATAAATACTGGAATTATGAGCAAGTCAGTATTTATATCCACCTATTCTTCAGGGGGAGGTGTTTTCTGAGTAAGTGTAGGCTGTAAGCATGAATGGTCTTGGGCCACAAGATTCAGGCCAAAGTATAGTTTTTTACTGAAAAGCATTCCTTTGTCAGTTTGTCAACCTGATCCAGCTTCAACCTTCTATAGCAGCAGAAGGCTCCAACATGCTCTCAGTAACTCAAAAGTATGCCATCCTGGAGCTGAAGCCAGGGGGCTGAATGATAGGCCTCTAGTTTGCATTTTGCTTTAAAGTGTCTGATTTACATTGGTACTTGGCCCAGCCTGATGCATTCCCTTTTGTCACAAGAGATCAAATGTTTTCATCCTAAGGCAGAGAATAATGGGAACATAGCTGAATCTCTTGCCTCTTTTCTGGAGATTTGCATATTGACAGGTCCTACATCAACATAGATAATTTCTAAAGAGAAAAATCTAGAGCAAATAGCAAAACAGACAGTTTGATATGACTATCATGCTGTTTTTTGTGTTTGTTCACTGAAATAAATCAACAAAACATTTTTCTTATAACTATTTATCTTAACACATTTTAGGCATATCCAAGTAACATAACTTTGTTGGTTTTTTGTTGATGACTGTTCAGATGGACAGGAAACTAGCCTAGAAGCTCCAACCAATTAATTGCATTATGTCATGTGGCACAGCCTCAGTTCCTGCTAGAACTCACCAGAATTGCATGGGAAACTGCTTCCCAATTTTTCTAGCTAGTTACAAATGAAGGGATGAAAGTGTAAACTTGGCATCTCTTACTTAACTTTTAATGGTGTCCTTTTATTCTGTCAACAGTGCTGTTCCTATGAATGCCAGGTGAGTGTTATTATCCTGACAGCCCAGCAGTATCTAAAATCTTGCCTTTTGCATTCCTGTGCTCTAATCCTAATTTTTTGTTGTTGTTTCTTAGCCTCCTCGAGGACCTCCAGGGCACATTGGGGACCCAGGAGAAGAGGTTTGTGTTTTCCTCACCTTATCAGTTCTGTAACTGACTGCCAGGTATCTGGTAAAATTTACTCTCACCTGGAAAGTGATCATACAGTGCAAGGAGACGATTTATGGGAGCAAGAAGATCAGACATTTGCAAGCTGCTCCCAGCCATCCTATCATGGTTTCATGTCAGCAGCCCTTTGAATCTTTGTTCTGCTGATGGTCAAGTCCAGATCAAGAAATCTGATAATTGTTGCCATTCAGGATTTAATTCTGAATGTATGAACCAACCCAATATAATTTACAGTTGATCTGTCCATATTCTGCCTATTTGAGTCCTCAACTGAGGGGGCAGTCATGTGATCAAATTGTAGCTAGACCAATATGTTCATTCAAAATTGCTTTGTGGGCAAATGGTCTTGCATTTAAGAATAGGACCTTTGATTGAAGGGCTTACTTCTTGCACTTTGACTTATTTGGTTAGATTGCAACCTGAAAAGAAGTGAAGCCAACCAGTTCTCCTCTCCCTGAAATGGCTAACTTCTACAGTGTGCACTTCTGTCAATAACAATTCTTCATTCCAAGCCTTTTTCTGTCCATTCTCCTATTGACAGACAATTGTCAGCTATACAGTACTCACTTTCATTCTTCTATGCCCATGGATACAGCCATGCAAACCTTCCTTGAGGGAGTCCTTTCCTTAAAGCAGTGTTTCTCAACCTTGACACTTTTAAGGCATGTGGACTTCAACTCCCAGAATTCCACAGCCAGCATTTACTGTTGTTGATTCAGAAACAATTGTGAAAAATGAAAATAGGTTTCACTTTTAATTAATGCTGTGTGTATTGCAATATTTAGCATTTGCCCGACACTAAAGGACAGTCTTGAAATTATCCTTTGGATAATGGCAAGAGCATTCATAACATGACTCCTTTTCTTCAATGCTTTTTAAAAACTAAACTTTACTTGCAATGTAAGGTTAAATAAAAACTGGAAATAAAACCTAATGCTTACTGATATTTTGTTTCAGGGAGAAAGAGGGAGACATGGCTTGCCAGGAGAAAAAGGAGACGCTGGAGATCCCGTAAGTAGAAAATACATGGAATATTTTCTTTTAGTTGGAGGGATGCATTCCTCCCAAGGGACATTTTCCATATTTGAAGACTTGTGAGATAACATTAATCAGTTTTGCAGACACACCATCTATATGTCAGCATCTTCCTGAATTTGCAAATTGCCAGTGAAGTTACAGGAGGGGTGAGATTCAGCCTGTTTCCACGCATCCATTCTGTTGAGGCATCTCATCATCTTTTCTGAGATCATCATATTAGGTCCAGTTTTGACAGAATTTAATGTACCACTATAATATAATAAAACTAGGGGACTCTTCTGTAATTTTCACAAAGAACTGAGATCTTGAACTGCACTCTTCTGAAGTCTTCAAAAAGACCCCTATGTCTGGAGAGGCCACATCTGATAGGCACTAATACATTTGTCAGTGAAGTGTTTTTGATAACATAGAAAGCTTTAATCTGAAATTCTGGAAGCCCTGAGGTAGTGTGAATTCAAAATAGATTATTTCTGAATAGACACATATAAAATTGCATTATTAAAAAAACAAGATTGGATCCAGCCATGAGTCCGTTCTACTTACATGTCTTAATCCAACTCTATATCAATCTGTTTAGATATACAATGAATGTGCTTTCATGTATGTGTTTTGGGAAAGTAAGGATGGATTTCAAATCAAAGGACTTAAATGCTTTAAAATTATTGTAAGAAATTGTCAAAATCCCAATTAAAGTAAAATTCTGGATGAATTTTTTTCCCCTACAATCTTGAGAGAATTTCCCAAACAAGAATCAGATCTGACTGCAATGGGATTTATTGCTTTGAATGTTATTCTTTATCTAGGGAAAGCAAGGTGATCCAGGACCTATTGGCTACCAAGGGATGAAGGCAAGTATAATTTCCCTTACTGCTTTCTTGTTAATATTTTTTTCTTATAATTTTATTTAGAATATATCTGACTTTTCCCCCTCCTTCTCATTTTTAGGGAGACAAGGGTGGCCGAGGGGACAAGGTGAGTTGTGTTGGTTAACAGTGCTACAAAACCAAATGAATCTGTGTTGAATTATTGGGGGGGAAAAACTCCAAAATTCAGTGTTAGGGTAGGCCATTTTTAGGGCCAGACAAAATATCACAAGATTTAACCTTGATCTAGATGTATGCTATAAAATATAAACCAGACAGGGGAAGGGGAAGAGAAGCTTGCTTGTGGTTGAAACTACAAAGTCTGTATACTCTCAAGATCTTACCTCATTTCATATCATTTCAAAACACATAAATAAATCACAATTGAGTGGGTTCACATATGAAGCCAAAAACAAATCAACAGCATTCTGATTTAATATATTGCATGTGAATCTGGTCTGTAACTGAAGTACCTCAAAAATCATTTAGCCCCTCTAGCCCCGCTCCCTGCTGCTAACTCCCTTTACTGGAATCTACTGTAGCATTCTTAATAGTTGCCTACCAGCCTGCCTGCTATGTAGCACTTCAGGAAATTTCCCCTAATATTTAGTTAAAGCCTTCCTTCTTCCTGAGATCTCATTTCATTAGAGCAAATAAAATAAATGTGTCCTATGATCAGTTTGAAACACAAATATGTTAAAATCTCCCTCTAAAGTGTCTGTTTTTCAGAAGGAGAAAAGGCTGTAAGAAATTTAAATTAATTTGGTTCTACTTGGAATTGTTTGGATTTGAGAGTCCCACTAGAATTGTTGGGCAAAGAAACAAATATTGGATTCTATTTTGCACATTTATTTATTTATCAAATTTATAAGGCCACCCATCTCACAAACAAGTTATTCTGGGCACCATACATTAAGGATAAACAAAATAAATACATTAAAACAATGTTAAAATATATTAAAGTATATTTTAATATAAAAATTGATTTAAAACCATTATTATTGTTTTTAATCTTCAATTCAATTCACAGTCTGGTACTGGTAAGAAATTAACAGCTCAAGTCCTAACCAAGGACCAAAGAGGTATTAAGGTAGCGTCTGAGTATATAGGTAGTTCCGAGTACGGTGGGTTTTTTGTTTTTTTGTTTTTGCAAAGTCAGGATATTCAGGTTTAATAAGTTCAAATTTTCCATGCATCTAAGAAGCCCTTTGGGAATTGCTTCAAGGGTTCTTATTACCATTGGTACAACCATTGATTTCTTCCTCCACAATCGCTCAACTTCAATTTACAAATCATGATATTTTGTTATTTTTCTAGCCGTTTTTTAATAATAATAATAATTAGTTTTCAATTCACAGTTTGGAACTTGTAAAAACTTAATAGTTCAAGTTGTTGTTATGATGATTATTATTAAGATTTAGTCTTCAATTCAATTCAATTCACAGTCCGGAACTGGTAAAAACTTAACAGTTCAAGTTGTTGTTATTATTATTATTTATCCTAATATCATGGGGATGGTAATTTTGTGACCACTAGAAAATTAGACAACCAGAGCAGGGACAGGGAATGGTTCAGATAAGATTTAGAATATTTTGCAAAATTGCATATATGCTTTTTTAAATGAAAAGGCTAGTTACCGTATGTTCAGTTAGAAAGGACGTAGTTTGTTCTTAGGATATTGTATTAGGGCATGATGCAGCTACCGTATTTTGCTGATATAACATCAGTACCTAGTGATTATCTAGAACAGCGGCTCCCAACCTTTTCTATATCCTGCACTCCTAAAATGCTTCTGATATATTCTCACACCCCATACAAAAGTTCGAAATAACAGCAATGAATTATGCATATAAACTATAATTTTGAAAACCCAAGTTTTCACACCCCCTGGAATACTGTCTCGCACCCCCAGGGTGAGCACCCCTGGTTGGGAACCCCAGATCTAGAAGATCATAAATATCTTAAATTCCATAGTAGGCTCTAAAAAGAGAACAAGAAATATCCAACTTCCCCTACCCTTTTCCATATATCCCCAGTAATCACTTGTACATCATTCTAAATCTTCTTCTTTCATCTACAGGGCTCAAGAGGTGCAAAAGGAGGCAAGGTGTGTCTTTAGGTTTTGTTGGGGGATGATATCAATATCTTTTTGAGAGAGAAATTGAAATATGTATTACACACCTGACTTTTTTTGTGTTACAGGGAGAGAAGGGCAAACGTGGCATAGATGGCAATGATGGCAAGAAGGTATGGTTTATATCTGCACACAGAAGGTAGTTTCCCTCCTTATGCCTTAAAAAAGCTGCATTAAAAGGGTTGCAGTTGAATAAAGTATTGGCTTAAGGAATTAAATAAAGGCATATCAATATTCAGGTGTTCTGATGACCTAGAGTCCTAGACTAACTTGGTATAGTAGAATGAGTAAGAATTCCCAAAGTCTAATTTAGCTGCAATCAGCTAATTTTTTTCCAGAAGAGACATTCCAGTACAATTGCTTCTACTAGTCTTATAGAGATAATCCTACAGAATCTTCCTTAAGATAGAGCTGTGGTGGCGCAGTGGTTAGAATGCAGTACTGCAGGCTAACTCATTGCTTGCTCCAGGAGTTCGATTCTCACCAGCTGAAGGTTGACTCAGCCTTCCATCCTTCTGAGGTCAATAAAATGAGGATCCAGGGGGCAATATGCTGAGTCTGTAAATTGCTTAGAGAGGGCTGTAAAGTACTGTGAAGTGGTATATAAGTCTAAGTGCTATTGCTATTGCTTTCTTCTAATGATAAAAGAAAATAATTCTAAATGATTCATAATAGTCCTGTAAACATTTTCTTTCTTCACAGGGTGAACAAGGATATCATGGACTACCAGGATGCAAAGGATCTCCTGGGTTTGATGTACGTCAGTGCAAGAGATTATACATCTATCCATTCTGATTGCTAACAGGCAACCTCAGGGTGCAGTGGTGGAAGCAAATCTGTAAATATAGGTAGTCACAAAGTGCAGAATCTGATTAGAAATAGGCCAATAAATCGATATATAGATAAATTCAGTCCAGCCTGATGGAGATTATTGTCATATACCAAAACATATACATATTGTCATTAGTTAATTGATATCTGCTTGATTCCAGGGCTTACAAGGACCTCTTGGACAAAAAGGGGATACTGGTTCTTATGGACCCAAAGGGATAAAGGTTAGCCATAATTCATTGTTTTCTCTTTATGACTTGGATACTATACTTTTGTGATGTCGACATATAAATACCATGATAAATTTATCTAGTATTTGGTAAATACTAGTTCAGTAGTATTTATAATAGTAAATTAGTTAAATATGGCATTACATTTGTTTTACAAAACATTTTCACACATGCAAATCCAAAAAGTCAAAGGAAGCAGTTTTAGAAGGTTATTGTAGTAATAAGTTGAAGTGAGGGGAAACCAAATCAGCAATGTACTAATCCTCAATAAGTAATATTGGTTTATGATGTTTTTCAATGTTATATTATAATATAATACATACATTCATACATACATTCATTCATACATACATAGATACATACATACATATACATAACAGAATTCTTAAAATATAAAAATGGCCTGTATTTGAAAGAATAGGAAATTCTGCTTTTATATTTCTCATTTGGCATGCATGGTCCTGTCACAGTGATGACAAAACTCTAGATTTCTCTATTTTGACTACAGGTGATTCTCACTTCCACTAGCTCCCCCTAGCAATGACAAACCTCCACTTGTATGTCATGTCATTTAGGATGTTGGAATGGGAGTCCTTTTTTCCTTCCTAAACTTATTTGTGTCTCTGTGTTCTTTACTTCAAGGGAGAGCCTGGGCCCAAAGGAGGTCCAGGGCCACAAGGAAAAGATGGACGTCCTGGCGACAAGGTATAATTGTAATTGTGAACTTACAGCATCGCTTGGCCTTCCTCTTTTATCACTGCTGTACCTGACCACACTCCCTCCCCCAACATAACACCACCAGGTTAGGGGGGAAAAGGCAACAGCCAGCAGGTTCACACTCTTTCTGCTCAGCCAGCTTTAAGTACTGGGTATACCTTTCAGTTTTATCTATGCTATAACAATTTCCCCAATGTTATTTGTTGGGATAAAAAACCCAACACTCTAAAGAGTGTTGTATTTCATGATAAATATTTGTTTATATTTAATATGCTACTGAGAAGCAAATTTATGACACTGGGCTAGATATTATTCTAAATCAATTAATTTGGCCTGTTTGATTTTTGTTTGTTTGCCTACTGGTTTGATAAAGGAAGTTAGCAGGATTCAGGCAAATAAATAGGGCTGAGTGAAGAATCCCACAACTTGCTAGTGGAGCCATTAGAACTGTGCTTCCCTAAACTTCGCTAACCTAGGTAAATTGCCCAAAATCACAGCAGGGACATTTAAATAAGGAATTTCTGATAAGTGGTAAAAGGACTTTCTGATAAGCAGTTTTGGGTAATGAAAATGGGAACGAAGAAAAAAAAGCACTGCATTAGAAGATGGTAAACAGCTAGAATATGATTTCCTGGTTTCAAAATTGACTGTTGGTAATTTGCCAGATTAGGAATACTGGTTAGTTGATCAGACACAAAACGGGAGATTGACTAGATACTGCAGCTTCTCTTGGATTTCTTCCTGGATTCTTTGGATTTTACACATCTGCACTCTTGTACATGCATTCCATACAGGTTAGATGTTCTTTATAAAGGACACTACAAGTACTCCTAACTTACTACTTCATTTAGCAATTATTTAACGTTAACTAGAGTTGAAAAAAAACAGCTTTGCAACCAAACTTTACATTTAAGATCATCACAGTGTCCCACAGTCACATGATTGCCATTTGGGTGCTTTTCAACCAATATGCATTCACAACATTTGTATTGTCCCACAGTCACATGATCACAATTTGCTTTCAGCAAGCACAATTAATGGAGAGTGCAGATGTAAAACTGCAAGTCATGATCACTTAATAACTTCAGTGATTTGCTGAGCAACCAAAACAGAGGTTTCTGGCAGTCATGTGATGTTTGCTTTGCAATTGCAGCACTTGCTAACAGAGTTGCCAGTCACAACTGTGATCTCTAAGCAAGAATAACCTAAGAATAACATTCCTTCATCATAGAAGTTGTGTATGGAATAATCACATTTTTTTAGACAAGCTCATTCTTTGGCCTCTTCTAAATTTCCACTTCTTTTGCTCCCCAAACCATCAGAACGGTTTTGCATTGTCATGTGATCATCATCCAGTTTTGTACAATGATGATAAGGAGCAAAAAGAAAAAAAATACTGCTCCCACCCAGCTACAGGAAGTTTTGGGGTAAAGTGAAAAGTGTTTTATCCCATGTCATCAATGAGTAAAATAAATTGCTATTCCATACACCCCCAATCGATGTCCTCAATTCATGTTGCCTTTGTCTAGTTGCATTAAAAAATGAAGACTTTGAAGCTTCTGAGGCTAAACCGCCATTCCCCTGAAGGACCTTTTAGGGAAACTAAAGCTCAGGGATCAGCATTTTGGGATAAGATAAGAGATCCTTCTGATGGGAAAATTGCTGCCAAACAGCTGTAAAAATTTACCAGATTTCAGAATATTGTGAATTAAAATGTTGGTTTTGTTGCAGTTCAGCTATACTATAGCCAAGCCAAAACTGAATCGTCTCAGCTCATCAATGCAGTTGATATCATGAGATCAGAGAAATTCAGAGTTGTTTTTAAGCGGGCAAACAATCTTTTTATAAAGATGTCATTTGTCTTTTTGATTTTAAAGGGCAAGCTTTTTGATTTTGAAGGGCAATAATAACATTGCTCTAACATCTCTACCCATTTCGGTTTAGATCACTTTGTCAGAATCAAATTATATTTCATCTCTAGTTATTGACTATAGAAAACCCCATTTCTGCCTTCTCTGGATTCTGTCATACGATGAAGGGAAGGGGGTGAACAAAGGGGCTTTATGGCCCTCACTTCCTTCAGTACACTTCAAAAGGACTGGATGTGGATATCACTAAAAGGACTAACCATAACAATGGGGCTATTACCTTTCATGTACTCCTCTCTGAAGTCTCCCTCCCAATGGCAGTGAGGAAAAGGGGGTGGGAATGTAATGCCTGAGGCTGTCACTGGAAGAAGGGGGTGATTGGGTGGGGCTACTGGGGAACCCCTTAAAACCTTGAATGGGAGAGCTTGGATCCCAAGTCCTGTCTAGAACGCCTGCAACCATTTTCTCTTAATAAAGATGCCTGTTGGAAGAAATATTCCAAGAATTCTGTCTTCTTAAGATGCAAAGTGGGGTGGGTCCTTACACACTTATGTGATTCACAGCTGCTGTAGGAATACTCAAAAGCCTTATGTTAAAAGTATTTACTTTTTCATGTCTTTTAGGGTCTGCCTGGAGAAGTGGGAGCCAAAGGAGAAAAAGGAGAATGGGGAGATGAGGTACATATTTAAAGATTTTTAAGGGGCCCGAAGGAGCTGGTTTAAATGCATGACAATCTGGTCCACTGTCTCTTCTTTCTCTTGTAGGGAAGTCCTGGCTCTGATGGTATCGCTGGACCAAAGGTAAGGTTACTGTTTTCAGTGTTGTTTTCTGTAGTTGGCAGCAAAATTGGAAACCAAGAAAATGATCTTCATTAAGCCTCTGGAACTGTAATTCAATGGATTTATTCAAAGCTGTTTTTCTAATATTGATACGGAATGGGATACAATCAGCTGTAAACACAGTGTAACCTATAAAAACGTTTAGGAATTCCTTCAGTCCTTAGCAAGCCCTCAGAATCCTTCCCAACTGGATTGTTAGAACAAGTTCTAATACAAAATTCCCCTTTGGCTTCTTAGTGAACAGAAATATGTTTAAAAGCTCTCTGCCACACCTCTGGCAGGCTTGTTATTGAGTCTAGTATATAAAATCATAATCCTTTTGCACACAGGGTAGCCCTGGATCCGAAGGCTTACGAGGTGTTCCTGGGGCTCGTGGACTAAACGGAGAAAAGGTAAATTTTAATTCACAATATTCACAAGTAGTTTAGAAGAAGAAGAAAGACTTTACTGTTTAAAATAAAAACTCAAGCCATTTTTGCCTAAGGCCTAGTGATCTTTTGAGCAGACATATCAAACACAAGACCCTCGGGCCGGATTTGGCCTGCGATTGGCCAATATTTGGCCCCCGGAAATGTTCTGGAGATGGCGAGGGACTGGCCCCCGTCACCCTAGCCCCAGCTCCATCCAGCCCGGCAGCCCCCAAGGCACATGCACAGAAGGTGAGCATGCAGGGGCCAACAGCATCCGGCAGCAGGGGTGCGTAACCCGCTGTGGATACCGGGCTGGCCCTCTAGCAGCAGTGCTGCGACAGCAATGGCAGCACGTGGAGTCAAGGGGGCATGTGATGCAGATCGCCAGACACGCCTACTCCGTCTCATCTCCTTTTGGTTGGAGAGCAGGTTGCCACTGGTCATCTCAGCCCCCACGCGTGTCTTGCCCTTGGTCCACGGGTGGAGTGCATTCCCCTCATGCACCTTGATACCTGTCGCAGCCGTGGCTGCCAGCCACTTGCACAGGTCCATTAGGCTGCCGCCCGGAGCTTCAGGCCCACCCAGCACGAAGGAAGCAGAGATGGGGGAGAGGCATACAATCCTGGCTGGGACTGGGTGGCCATGGCGCCAATGGGAATCCGGCTTTCCCCGCTCAGGTTGGCCTTTTGCTTGCTGGGACTGGGCGTGCTCTACCACCTCTACTCAGGGCTTCCTAGCCATCCGTTCACCTATTTGCTGGGTGGGGCTGCCGCTCCAGGTGGCGGGGGAGCCTAATGGACCTGCGCAAGCTGCTGGCGCCAGTGGCCCGAGGCGGGCCAAGGTGCATCAGGTACGCAAATGGAACAAGCTCAACACGTGGGCCAAGGGGGCCGAGAAGATGACCAGCAGCAACCTGCTCTCCAACTGCAAGCAAAAACAGATGGGACGGAGTTGGTACATCTGGTGGTCTGTATCATGTGCCTCCCCTCCCCTACTCTGCCTGCTGCTGGTGGCCTGGCCCAGTATTCACAGCAGGCTGTGGAACCCCCTTGTTCCCTGCTCCCCTGCCTCACCTCGCAGAATGAGCCTCCTGCCCACCGCCTCACCCACCAGAGAGCCCCTGGATCTCCCCAAATCCTGCCTGGCCCCCACAGATGCCCCCCTGAGCAATGTTGAGGTGGCCACACGTACCCAGTCAGCCATGACCACCACAACCACGGTCACCCAGCGGTCCACGCCCACCCAGCCCTCCTGAGGGCACCACAATGGTGATGTGGCCCTCAATGAAATTGAGTTTGATACCTCTGTTTTAGAGAAATGGCTCAAGTTTAAGGGTTGTTAAATATTTCTAATAATGTCCAAAACATGGGAAAAGACATTCTGCACTTTTAACTGATTTTGTTAAAACTTGTTTTTGTTTTTCTTATAGCTGGAACTTGGAAGATACACATGACTCAATGTAGAATTAGCAGACTGAGTTTATAAACTAAGAAAGGCATAGAATAAAAGGAAAGGAGAGGAGAGGAGAGGAACATAACAGAATAGAATCATAGAGTTGGAAGAGATTTTGCAGGTCTTCTAGTCCAACTCTCTGCCCAAAGCAGGAGGCTTTATACCATTTCAGACAAATGGTTGTGCAATCTTTTTTTGAAAGCCTCTGTGGTCGGAGCACCCACAACTTCAGGGGGCAAGCTGTTCCATTGATTAATTGTTCTCACTGTCAAGCAATTTCTTCTTATTTCCAGGTTAGATTTCCCCCTGATGAGCTAGTTGTAAAGGAAAGGAAAACAATGCCTCTTTTAATGAGAAAGTTGGGGATGAGTAGGGAAAAATGCACTACGCCCCAAACCAAAAAGTGCATCTGTAAAACTGGGCAGCTAGAAGAATTCAGCTGGCCAAAACCAATTTGGAAACAAGAAAGGAAGATTTTTTAAAATGCTCTGATATATTGAGAAAAGTTAGTGCTGTGGGGTTCATGAATTTGAGGATTGTACCAAATAATGTAGTTTCAGTTTTCCTCTCACTGGTCTGTTCTTGGATAACATGGACATTTATATATTATCTCAGAAGACTAAAAATCACTTGTCATAAAGTAACATTCTAAATACATTTTGCTTTGTTTAGGCAGAGAAATGCATCACAGAATTTAGAAATATGCTTCTGAAGAGAATTGTCATTTTAAAATTGTGGACCAGATTAGCTTGTAAACCAGCCCGAGTTGCTCGATAGTGGGATGGGCAGCATATAAATTTAATAGATAGATGATGGATGGATGAATGGATGGAAGAGAGAGAGAGAGAGAGAGAGAGAGAGAGAGAGAACCAAATTCAAAAAGAATTTTCTTAAGCATCCTGTAACTAATATATATATATTCTCTGTCTTACCTTTACATTCCAAAATAATGTCTTTAACCAATAAACGGTGGGTAGAGATACATTTTTGATTATACCCCCCATTTATCCTATTCTGTTTCCCCTTAAATCATTCACCTCATGGTGATGGTATTGTTATTGTAGTTCATTGCATAGCCAGCCAGATATTCAGACTGGATTTGGCATTTTTATCCGCTTATTGAGTCCTTCCCTTGGGATAGGCTTGGAATAGGCAGATATGGATGTGTTAAAAAAAGTTATCGTCACAGGATGTAACCTGTTCCGAGCAAAACTGCCTTTTGCAACAAACTGATAGTGAATTGTCAATGCTGATGGTGTTCAAGAGGTGCTCCAGTTCTTTTGGGATTTCACTCAAAACCCCTATTGCTATTGGTACTACCTTTGCTTTCTTTTTGCCACTGTTCTATTTCTATTTGCAGGTCTTTATATTTTGTTATCTTCTCCAGATCTTTCTCTTCTGTTCTGCTCTCTCCAGGTATTGCCACATCCACTGTCCAGACATTTTTGTCTTTTTTATCAGCAGTTCTTAAGTCTGGTGTGTTATGTGGCAAGTGCCTGTCTATTTGAATTTTAAAGTCCCAGAGCATTTTAGCTTCTTCATTTTCTTTGATTTTCTCTATTTTATGGTCCCATCAGTTCTTACTTGTAGGCTAATGGTATTTCTTGTGAATCTTCCAATGCACTATTGTTGATAGTTGTCATGATATTATTTGTAAACAATATGTGTTATCTTCTTGCAGCAGCTAATCAGGTGGTCCACTGTTTCTTCAGGTGGTCCACTTGCTGTCTGTTGCTGTCGTCTCAATTCTGGCTTTTATAAACATTACTATTGTTATTTCATTTGCTGTTTCTGCTGGAAGAAAATGTTTGTGTCTGTGTACATTTCTGTGGATAAGAGTGGTTTCTATGAGAGATGGGATAATTGGTATATACAAATGGGCAATCAAGTTGATAAATTGTGTTATTTTACAGATAAGTAATGTAATTGATTGATTGATTATGTGCCATCAAATCAATGTTGTTCTAATCACCACACAGATAGATTTTCTTCATGAGCATGAGGCTGGACTAGAAGACTTCCAAGGTCCCTTCCAATCCTGTTATTCTTTGTTGTAACCTGGTTTTCCAGTCTTCCGATAGTGCACCCATCACCTTTGTAACTGAGTCAAACCATTTTCCTGCTGATTGTCCTCTGCTTCTCTTTCCTTCCACTTTTCCAACATTAAAGCCACTTCCAGAGTTAGGTCTTCACCTAATTGTCAAAAATTAAAGTGAGAACTCTAAGTCGATCTGTTTAATGATTCATTGGTTTGTTTTTATGCCTGTCTATGGCATTCTCCAGAGTCTTCTCCAACCCCAAAGTTCAGAGGCACTAATACTCTTCCTGTCCTGTTTCTTCAGTCCAACTTTCACTGGCATAGAGTATTACAGGGACACACCATGGCTTAATTAATGTAATTAATAGTCATTATTTCAACTAATACAGATGTCTTCTTTGTCTTTCCTCTGTTCTTTTTGTTGGCTCCTGGCAGTTACAAATATATTCCTAAACAAATATGCCTCGTAAAGACATGTTTGTTGGAGGAGAGGACACGATTTAATTCTATTTTAGGTGGCAGTCTAGTCTTCTAGTTCAACCCCTTGCCGAAAGCAGGAGACCTTATACCATTTCAGACAAATTGCTGTCTAATCTCTTTTTGAAAACCTCTAGATGGAATACCCACAACTCTGGGAAGCAAGCTGTTCCATTGATTAATTGTTCTCGCTATCAGAAATTGTTTCCTTAGTTCCAAACTGGATCTCTCTTTAATGAGCTTCCACCAATTGTTTCTATTCCTATTCTAAGAATAAGTTGACTCCCTTTTTTCTGTTACTGTCAGATCCTGGAAGACAGTTATCATGTCACTCCTAATCCTTTTCTTTATTAGGCTAGACATATCTAGTGTCAGGCACCAGGAAAATCAGAAAATCCAGGAAATTCAAATGGGTATAAAGGTTTATTGCAAGCTTAAGCTCTCTATAAGAGTCTGAACTACTAACTGTCAAAGCAAACTGGCAGTAGATAAGAGTCAAAGGAATTCAAGGTGGGCTGGACTTAGATCTCTTGTGGGCGCAAAGGGATTCATGACTAATGATGCGTTTGACCCCTTCCTTGGACTCTGGTCATCTCCTACATCTAGCTCCCTCAACTGTTCATCATACAGTTTAGCTTCAAGACCCCTTATCATCTTTGTTGCTTTTCTTTGCAAAAAGGATGGTAAGATCTCTTCTAGGATCTTACCATCCTTTTTGTATCATGGCAACCAGAACTAGTTATAGTATTCCAAGTGTGGCCTTGCTAGTGCAGTATATAACAATACTACCACGTCTCATGATCTAACTTCTTTTTGGATAAATTTGATATGTGAACTAACAGGAATGATAAAATGTCCTATTCTAAATGCAAACAGTTTTCCTGATGGTTGTTAAAGTAGTGGAACAGAACCCATATATGTCTTCAAAACCTTAACTCTCCCTGTTAAGTTACAAAGGAATTTAAAGAGGAAAGTATGTTTATAAGTTTTTTGTTTACGTCTGATGTTTTCTCAAACAGAATTTCAACTGTACTTGAGGAGCACATGTGGACAGATGTTCAATGCAACTAGTTCCAAAACATTAGATTCTGTGGTTTTATATCTCTGCTGTCATCTAGTGATTTTCTGGAGTTCATCAGCTCAGATGTAGCAGGCCTAAGAGGTAGATATTTATGGTTCCAAAGAACAAGTAAGGATTATGGAGGAAGTAACATGTTTTGATCAAAATTCTGCAACTGAGCTTTCTGTCCTCAGGATGGGAACAAAGGAAAAGGAAGTTCTTGTTTTATAGGAATATGCTTTATGAGAAATCAAAATAGAGACAAACATATTGCAAATAAACCTTGACAGTTTTGCATCAAACAAAATTTGTCATTTTCTCTGTGTGAATGTTGCTACAAGAAAAAAATGGTTGGAGCTTCTATTAACATAATATCCAGCCTATGTAGGAATATAGTTCCAATTACTCATTGGGCCTAGTTACAGCATATTCTACCTTTTATCCATGGTGGAATGCTAGATCACTTCCTGTTTTCTCTAGGAAATAATCCTGGAAGCTAAGTCAAACAAAAATGTGATTATCCATAAAACATGATAGTATAATATTCATGGGTTAATGGGGACTTGAATCTGGATTTTCCAGGCTTATGTTGATAGTCTAGCTGGCGATTGCTGCTGGCTTTCAGTTAAAAACATGCTACTGTCAATAGAACAAAGGCTAACAAATAATTAAATAGGTGGGTTTTGTATCTACAATGAAACAAACTTACTGACATTCTGAGAAGACAGTATATCTGTTTCAAACTCAGATGATAGAATAATGATTATTTAATCATTATTATATAATTAATAATTTACATTATTATATGGTAAAAATTTCCTGTTAGGATCGTTCTTTGCTCAATTCAAGTCCAAATCTTCAGCTGTGAATACAGCCGGTGTTTTCAGAAAAGGGATTCTTGATCTACCTTTTTCCAAATTCATAAAGCAGAGACATTTCCTAATTCTTCATATGAACCAAGCATTCTGTTTATATGAAGATTTGGCACAGAGGAAGAAGGAGTGCTGCCATACAAGTGATTGTATGTCCTATTATATTTATTTTTCAAACGAATAAAACATTTTTCTCCAGAAGTCCCTCAATTAATCTGATCATTCTCATGTTTCTACTTCTCAAAAAAAGATGACAAACAGCAATCTCTCCTCTTGTTCCCTCTCCACTGTGCCCTTCACTAATGTTCTCACAGTTAGCTTCCCACAGACTCCTTGTATTTTCCAAGACCTCTTAATTAAGATTGGGTAATACAGTAATATCCCTCAGCGTGCCACTGTGTTAGACACCTCATTATTTTGGCTTCTTCCCCTTCTGTTATGCTACTGTCCCATGAGTACAGCATACTTTGGCATTCTATAGAAGGAAATTGTTGCTCAGTGATAATATTTGAAACACAGGGGAAATTGCTCACTGCTGGTTCTTTGAGGCAGTGCTGTTCATTTGCCGTGATGTAGACAAAGCCTTAGAGAGTGAGTAGTGTCCATGACTGAGTATGACAAGAACTCAACCACCAAGAGAGGACCAAGTAGACAGAATGGCTAGAAATGCCACAGCCCAGCAGTCAGTTTCAGTTCCAGGTAGCCTTTGGGCATTCCTGTTAGGTCATCGATACTGTATCAACTCAGTTGAGGCAAAGGAGGATATATGTGAACAAATGTTTTCCTCTGGCCACTCTCATAGTCCCATATGAGCCATTAACTTCTCAGTACTCTTTATTCTGCAAGCAAATTGGCAAGAACGTTGGAAATAGTTGGCTTTCATGACAATGTGGTGCAATGGATCCTACATACAGTACAATTATGCCAAAAGTCCTCCAATCTCTGGAGGATTCTGGGCAAGATGTGAATTTTTAGCTTTTTGAGTAGATAATCCACGGATTTTAAGATTATCTGGGCCTTTGATAGTGTTCGTTTGATATTGTTTTCCTGCATTGATTATAAGCAAAATATGGTACAGTATAATTTAGTATATTGGACCACGTATGGTTCAACTCTGCAGATGTTATATTTTCTCTTCTGCTTTTCTACTTATTCTTCTCTGCAAATATTGCCTCATTTATTTTCCTTTTTTTTTTAGGGTGAGCTAGGTCCACCAGGAGAACAAGGCCGTGAGGGACTTTTTGGACCACCAGGAGAACCAGTAAGATGGTCTCAATTCTTCTGCATCCTCAATCTCTCAGTTGGGCAGAGGGAGAACGTAAATCAATGAGTAGAAAGGAAGAGAATATTTAACGAGGCCCCTGCTCTGTATTAATTTGAGTAATTTTTTTTTTTTTGCAGTGAGGAGCAATTAGTGTAATCAATGTTCATGGGAATAATGCAAAGAGCCTTATAAGCAATTAAGACAGTCAAAAAGGACTTGATTCCTGCTCATAATGTGATCCTTGTATCATTAGCATTATCAATAACATTACCAAGAACAGACAGTACTGCTAGGATATATACACTGAATAAGAAAACTCACATGATTAATGAGTTCCTCTCTGCACATATATCTACTGGCCTGTTATTCCAGCTATAGAGGATAAGTGTCCTTCAATAGATCCAGGACATTTCCATCCCATAATGCTCCAAAGTGAGGCTCCTTGCTCTGTTAATATTTGTCCAGTTTGTAGTTGTAAAATAACATGTATTATTAAAATGAAATGCAGATGTTCTGCACCAAAATGGCAAATTGAAAACAGCAGCTAGGATAAAAGCTGACATAAATCCCATTTAGAACCTTCCCTGCTATAAGAGCCCTCTGTGTTTTTCTATACAAAATTGAACGTATTGCATCAAGATGACCAAACAAGAGTTCCTCAAGACATTTAAGGCAACAGACTTTTAAAAAGAAAAGGACACCACAATTATTTGTTTTAAGTGGGATACAAAATGGGCATGAATCACACCTTAGAACTCAGGATTCAAGTGAATGAAATTTTTAAAAAACCAAACTGTCAAATAAATTGACATCAGTAAAATAATGAAAATTGGTACCTCTTTTAGGAAAAACAAATTAGAAAGGGCTATAACAAGTGGGAATAGGAAGTTCTTAAAGCTATTTATTTTGGTTCTTAAGCCATTACAATGTTTTTCTTGGATCGATGGAAAGCTACACCCTGAGAAATTATTTGATAATACTGTATGTCCTAGACAGTACAGTTGCACAGAACTAAAATTAAAATTGTATAGTTTTCCTGATGATTATTGTCTTTGTAGTTTGTTCTAAATGACAAGTATGAAAATGTGCTTTAAGTAAAGAAATAAATCATACTCATCCTAAAGCTATTCTTTCCATGGGGAAACTTTAACTGTTCACATAAAATATTCTTAAATGTTCATAGGTAACCTCCATTTTTAAAATATTGCAAGGTCAGGCTTCTGCATCCCCCTTGCTGTGCAAGTACAGATAGTCCTCAGTTTACAACAGTTTGTTTAGTGACTGTTCAAAGTAACAACTTTGCAAAGTTACAACTGAAAAGTGACCTATGACCGTTTTTTATACTTACAACTGTTGCAGCATCCCTATGGTCAGATGCTTGACAACTGACTCATATTTATGACAGTTGCAGTGTCCTGGGATCATGTGCTCACCTTTTGTGACCTTCTGACAAACAAAATCAATGGGGAAGTCAGATTCATTTACCAGCTGTGTTACTAACTTACCAACTGCAGTGATTCACTTAAAACTGGGGCCAGAAAGGTTGTAAAATGGAACAAAATTCGCTTAATAAAGGTCTTGCTTAGTAGCTGAAATTTTGGACTCAATTGTGGTTATAAATAGAGATCTACCTGGATATGTGAACCTAAATTATAATTCATACTTGATGCAAGTATATTTGAATCCCATACTAATGGATTCTCATTTTTAAAATGCAATTAATTTTTGAAATCTCACCTGCCAAACATATATATGTACATGTATATAACTCCTAGCATTTGCACAGTGTTTGTAATGAACCTGGTAAAAGCTCAGTTCCACAGCCAATTGGTAAAATCTGAATAATTTTCATTTATCTGAGGCAAAGAGATTGAATTTGAACTTACTGTTTTGTAAAGTTTTACTCCTGATCTTATATCCCCAAAGCTCCAGCATTCAGCAAACAGCAACACTGGAGAGCCATACCCCCCCAAAAAAAAGTTTGATTGAATAACAGAGTTGGAAGGGACGTTGGAAGTCTTCTAATGCGGCCCCTTGCTCAGGCAGGAGACCCTATACCAGTAGTGGGATTCAGCTGGTTCGCACTGGTTTGGTAGAACTGATACTTAATTTTTTGTTGTGTTTGGCGAACCGGTTTATGATAAACCTGTGTTTTCTGGAACACATCTGGTTTTCATTCAACTTCCTTCCAGGCGAGGGAAAAAAGAAAAAAAAAACCCTCCCCAAAAGTCCAAGAGAGGAGCAACGGAAACCAAATGGTACCTTCGATCATGTCAGCTGCCCGCCCGTCTTTTCCCTTTCACTCCCCTCTCGAACCGGACTGCCATGCTACGGAGGATGGGCCTTACCTGGTCCCCCTCTGCCATATCGGAACCAGGGGGGAGTGATGGCGAAAGGCTCTGCCACCATTGCACAACTTTCTTCGGTCCCAGCCGCCTCCTCCGCCAACTATCCTGTGGCTTGCACTGTGACCGGGGGGCGCAAGACTCCGCTGACGCCCCCTCCGCCAGCCCTCCATCACTGCCACCACACTTTCTGGCCACCCTGCATTTGCTAGCATCTCCCTTCTCTGTTCTGGAAATTTTCTCCATTTCTGCCATTTTCCTCCTAGCAGAAGGGAGGAAAGGAAGGATGCTAAGCTCTGGGAAAACTACGCCAGCTGGAGATGGGCGAGGAAGGCCAGGCTCTCCTTCCCCGATGGTTCTGCAAAGCCCTTGAGTAGAGGATCAGGCCAACCTTGCAGGAAGCAGATCTACTTCTCAAGGGCTTTGCAGAACCATTGGGGAAGGATAGCCTGGCCTTTCTTGCCCAGCTCCAGCTGGCAGAGTTTTCCCGGAGTTTACCATAGGGTCCTTCCACATGAAGCGTCCTTCCTTTCCTCCCTTCGGCCAGGAGGAAAGTGACAGAAAACGTGGTTTCCATTTCCAGAACGGAGAAGTGAGATGCCGGCTGATGCAGGTCAACATGAAAAATCGCTATGTGAGGGAAGGAAGGAAGGGACGGAGGGAGGGAGGGATGGAGGTAAAGGAAGTTACTATAAGCCCCCTTTCTCCTTTTCCCAGCTGGGACAGAGGCAGCCCACACAGGCTGCTGCTTTGTGCAAGTAGGTGCGACCCTGGCGACCAAGGCTCCTCAGGGCCGCTTGAGAAGTTTTGTTCCTGGGTGGTGGTGGGTGAAACCGACCACCCTGCAGCATTTTTCCACCTCTGCCTCTTCCTCAGGTGGCTTAGTCCATCCACCCCTCTTTACTTTTAGCGTTCAGGGAAGTCCGTGCCTTTATGTGTTCTTAAGTTGCTCTTCGGGCAGAGAACCGGTTGTTAAATTATTTGAATCCCACTGTTGCCCTATACCATTTCCGACAAGTGGCTGTCCAGTCTCTTCTTAAAAACCTCCAGCGATGAGCACCCCCAACTTCTGAAGGCAGGCATTTCCATTGGTTAATTATTCTCACTGTAAGGAAATTTCTCATTGCAACAACCCAGTGGTAGAGAAAGAAAAGGGATGAGTAATTGGATTCAGTCCCTAGCACATCTGCCTTCAGAGCGAACATTTACAAGCAAATCCACATTTACAAATAACACCCTTTTCCAGTAAAAAATCTAAGAAGTTACAGCTATTTATTTTGTATGTTAGATAATGGGAGACTTTTCAATTCCTATTCTTGATCCAGACTGGTAAAATATGTAATCAATGTTGCTTGTAAATAGAAACACTCAACCGTTTGATAAATCAGTTGACAAAAACATGAAGTAATATTGTTTTTGCAGAAATTATCTTAAAAAACCCAAACCATTGAAATTGTCCATACAAAATATGAGCAATAGCAGAGGATATGCTTTTTTAACTTACGTATTGTTAGTCTCTAAATTTGGGACAAATCAGGCAGCATGTGATCTCCTCAGGGTTTCCCAAGCTAAAATGTTGACATAAGTTATCAACAACAGCTAAACTGGATAAGAGATTATAAACTTAAAAGGTTTACTTGCTTGCAAAATATTTTCAATAATAATATATATATAAAAATTTCTCCTTAATATACAGACAAACAGAAATTATATTTCAGTCATTGACCAATAAAAATATATTCAGTGCAGTAAAACGAACAAAGCAAAGTTAACCCCTACCATCAAAGACTGTAGGCAAATATTTGTGGGTGAAGCTTATACGTAATATAGCAGAATTTTGCTACTTTTAGAGAAATAGATTTGTCCTGTTTATCTAACAAATAATGCATATAAAAATTATTGGAATGCCCTTGAAATTTAGTTAAAAAGGGGATAATCAATCGATGGAGAATGTCCCCGTAGAACTAACAATATGAAAGAATTTGGGTCTTGTTATACTAATAAAGTATAAATAACTTGAGGCCTCTAAACCAAACTCCTTCCTAAGTCTGCCCACTCCAAATAAGGAAGGAAGGAAGGAAGGAAGGAAGGAAGGAAGGAAGGAAGGAAGGAAGGAAGGAAGGAAGGAAGGAAGGAAGGATATGAAATGAACAGCAGCTTCAGGAAACTCTCTTCAGATCATTTTGTGAGGACAAGATTTGTGATTTCTGCAAAACTAGTTGGTTCTGGCAATGTATTAGAGAAGGATGAAACCACTGAACTAACATTTTTCTTCTAGGGTAAAGTAGGTGCACCTGGACCTAAGGGCTTTAGAGGAGATGAAGGAGCTTCTGGACCAGAGGTTGGTATCTATGGTTGGGGAGAATCCCATATCTCACTGAATACACACATTTCTCAGATCACCAATGTTACAGGATACATAAGATGTCAACTAAAACAAAGAAATGTGCATTTTTAGATGTGAATTTATATATTTAGGATATTTAAGATATTATTTTACTGGTTGATGTTGTATGATGTTCATATTGTGAGGCATGGAAAACAAATGAATAAACTCTACAAAAGATAAATAAGAATAAAAAAGTTGACTCCCAAAATATTTCTGGGTTTTATATTTATATCCTTCAATATATCAGGCTCATAAGAGGTGCTAATACATCCAAATGTAATTAATATGGAAAAAAATTACAAGATACAATGATATACTAAATGAAAAGGGGGAACTTAAAACTAAATAAGAACTTAATAGATTAGGGATTGACCTATCATGGTGGCCACAGTTACAGATACAATCCAGATAAGAAAAAGACAGGAAGATATATGGTTTTTATAAAGAACCAACTGAATTGGATGAGATTCTAATAGGGATAGATGAGAAATTAATTAAAAGGATATATACAGAAAATATAAACTTACATTGTCAACAGTGTACAAAGAAAATCTTTATAAAATGCTCTACAGATGGCACCTTTCACTTGCAAGACTAATGAATATGTACTAAGATAAAACTGTTAAATGCTGGAAATATAATCAAATACCAGGTTCGTATTATCACATGTGGTGGACATGTCCCAAAACAAAAAAATATTGGAATAAAATAAACCTATGTTTGGAAGCAATGATAAAACAACATACAGATTTAAAACCAGAGACATTCTTATTGGGCATGTTACCAGGGAACTATAATAAGGTAATATTTACTTAGTTTTACGTATATTAACAGCAGCTAGAATAGTATATGCACAATTTTGGAAAAATGAAGAAACCCTTATAGAAGAGAATATAATTTAAAAAAATACTGGAATGTGCAGAAATGGATAGGTTAACATTAAAAATTAAAGAAAAAGAAGAAACTGAATATGTATGACATGGTACTTTTTTTACCAAAGTTAGCTGATAAAAACAGAGGTTAGAAAGTTGGAAATATAAGAAAATGTGGATTATGTGAGGAAGATCTATAACAGATTAGTAAATACTTTGATTGTTTTACAATTAATGTTAATGTGGGAAATACTATTTTCAACTATATGATTGCCATTTTCTAGTATATGATTGTGTTCTGATAAGATTTTTGTGAATGTAATGATTTTTATATTGTAATACTTGTATATCTAGATAACACACTGTTCAATACAGAAATGGAATTTTTGAGATTTTATATATATATATATATATATATATATATATATATATATATATATATATATATATAGAGAGAGAGAGAGAGAGAGAGAGAGAGAGAGAGAGAGAGAAAGTTTTTTCCAGATAGACCGGTCTGATTAATACACCTTGGTATTTTTGACTGCTACTGCAGTTCTACTTATAATCACTTTTATAATCACTCTTTAACTCTTTGTCAACAAAAAAGAAATTTATGTATGTATGTATGTATGTATGTATTATCCCTAATTACTTTAAAAATACGAATCCCGGGTATATCCATGTTAACAGTAGAAGAACAACGATCTCCAGGATAATTATGAAAATAACTGTTTATTAGCTAAGCTTTCGTTGGTCCCTTCCTAACGACATCAGAATAAAAAACCAGGGATTTGAAAGTCTGCTTATAAAACTGGCTGTTTTTGTGCTCTGCTCATCGAGCGCGTCACTGGTCTACCTGCCCCGGTTGGTTGTATTCACTCTAGCTGCATCGCATCCGCCCGCATCCTTTTGAATTCCAGCACCTCCTCTCCTCCCATCATTGCCTCCCCCTCCTGCTCTGCTTGTGTCTGGATGTTTACAGTTGTTGTCAAATCGCCCTCTAGTTTATCTCATCCTGTGACTCTCATCTGGTACTGCATATTTGCATATGGTAATGCCCCTCCCCTCATATGTGTCACCCTATTATCACTTGGCTCTTGAGTGAATTGTGTTGATGTCTCCTCCTTTGCACTTGTTGTAATTCCTTGCTGTCGTGTGAGCAGGCAACTTTGATCTTGTCTATCCCTCTCCCTCCTATGCGTGGGGGCACTCTTTGTGCTTGATGTGAGGTCTTGCATTGTTGCTTGTGTTTTCTTAATGCCTTGTAAGCTGGCAGTAAATCTATATGGCGGTTAGTTGAGTGTTCATTTGATAGCCAGGCTTCTTTAAGTAATTGGCTACTTTGGAAGTGTCCTGGGCAATGGCCTCTGCTCCCGCAAGATCAAATGAGTGGTTGTTGCTGGCCATATAGATCCGCACCTGTGACTGTTGCTCGTGTCGTCTAATGGCTAATTTATGCTTATGGATCCTGGTCTTCAGCTGTTTGGTCATTTCCCCGATGTAATTGCAGTGGCAATCGTTACATTTAACTCTATAAACCACTGATGATCTTTCCTCATTAGGCAAAGGGTCTTTGGGGAGCATTACCTTCGCACATAGGGTTTGATTCAGCTAATGTGCTATGTTGATATTATACGGTGCCAATACCCGTGCCGTTGCCTCTGATACGCCATTGATAATGTTATCCAGGTAATGTTATACAGGTTGTAGTTGTTTGTCTATTTTGTGTACCACAAGGCTTTGTTGTCTGCTGTATTGTCGGATAAAGTTCATTGGGTAACCGTTGCGCCTGCATATACGGTAGAGATGATTCCGTTCCTCAGTTTTTGCTTTCTTCATGCTGCAGTGAGTGCCTATGCGCTTAAACATTGTTCTAATGCAGCTGATCTTACGCGATATGGGGTGGTTGTTCCTATAATGCAAAATTCTGTCCGTATGCATTGCTTTTTCAGTGAACAGTCATGTGGCGTTTGGCAAATGACCAACACATCCAAGAATGTGAGAGTGCCATTGGTCTCCTCTTTCATTGTAAACTGGGTATCTGGGTAGACTGAGTTTAATTCCTTCATGAACCTGGCACTATCCTGATGTTTAATGATGGTAATTTGGGCCGGTAGTCTGTCATCACTTTGGATTCCAGCTATTGCAGGACAGCCTCTGCGATAATTCCCGAAATCGGGGATCCCATCAGCGTGCCCTTCATCTGCTCATAAATGGACATGGGCAGATGCGATGTGGCTAGAGAGAATATGACCTACTGGGGCGGGTAGACCGGTGACGCGCTCGATGAGCAGAGCGCAAAAACAGCCAGCTTAATAAGCAGACTTTCAAATCCCTGATTTTTTACTCTGATGACATTGATAGGGGACCGACGAAAGCTTAGCTAATAGACAGTTGTTTTCATAGTTATCCCAAAGATCGTGTATATGTATATGTATGTATGTGTGTGAGTGTGTGTGTATGTGTGTGTGTGTGTGTATATATATATATATATATATATATATATATATATATATATATATATATTCTGAATTCAGAATTTCAATTCTGAAAATGAATTGTGGGATTGTCTTGTCATTTGGTTTAAATTAACACTAAATGTTAACGTACATATTTCCATTTTTACTTTACAGGGCCCTAAAGGGCAGATTGGACCACCTGGAATAACTGGAAACCCTGGCTTGATGGGTGATAGGGTGAGTGTTATGATACCTGGGAATGCTACATTTTAATTTGGCTGGTGCTCCAATTGTGTTTATTTCTAGGGAAAATAGTCCTGGCCATAATCATACATGGTTGAACTTCATGAAAACTGGAATGCTCTTATGGGTGTAACCACCTATGAAAACCATCCAGGCATTGCCACTGTTATAGAAGGCAGCAGTGAAGCTACTATTAGGACCAGTTTTGTGGGACTAGGAAAACTAGGCAATTGTTTCTTGTTTCCTATTGCATGAGCTTGCTGTCACTAAGAGGGATTCTCTTAAATATTTTCTTTCTCTCCAAATCAGGATTAATAAAAAGTGTTTTCTCAGTTCCGGCATGCTTTTGAAAAAGCAGAATAGTCCATTTTCTGATGTCATATCCATGCTTTCTAAATGTATTTTTATGACTCATTGAATCTGAGTTCAAAGGAGTCCCTTAAGCCTCAAGCCAAACTTTAAATCTCATAGGGTTGTAGCTACCTTCTCCTTATTATCATAGAATTCTAGAATTGAAAGAGGGCACTGAGGCCAGCAAATCCAGTCCCCTGCTTAGTGCACAAATCCAAATTAAACAGATTGCTCAATGCTCTGAAATGAAAGAAATGAGTAATGATCTTCCATCTGACATTTTTCTATGTCCTTGAAGAATGGTGTTGTTTCCCCACTCAACACTCACCCAGTCTTTGCAAGGCCAAACATTTCTTTAATTCTTTAATTCTCTATTCAGAGGGCTTAGTTTTAGCACCTGTTTATCCTCATTGTCCTCCAATTAATTCCTGTTTGTCTAATATGGTCTTAAAATGCATTGCCTAGACCAGGGGTCGGCAATCTTAAACACTCAAAGAGCCACTTGGACTCGTTTCCCACAGAAAAGAAAACACTGGGAGCCACAAAACCCTTTTGACATCTAAAATGAAGATAACACTTCATATATTGATTTTTACCTTTGTGCTATGTATAAAAAAAATGCATTTTTTAAATCAATGAACTGCTACAAAGAAAACAAATTTTCTTTTAAAAGGGGGTGGCTGCCACTTGCCCATCTCAGTAACGGTCTGACAGTTCCTAGGAAACAAGAAAAGTAAAAGGACCACAACAGTTTGTTTTACATGCTTTTCCTCCCCCAATCTTTTAAAAATTAAATTCAATGTATTTCAGAGCAGGCCTGTCCATCTGGCTGTGAATTTGCGCCATCCCTTAAATTTGGTTTGGAAGCTAATGAGACTAGAGCAGCCAAATTAATGTTGAGGAGATGACAACATCCAACATAGAGTTGATAATGCCCCACCACATGACACACCAGGTGGGATGACGGCCTCTTGAGCTGCTGTCTAATTCTTAGAATAATGATTTCCATGCACATAATTCTTGGACTGAATTTGCATGGCTAATTAAATAAAGAACTACTTAAGACAAATAAAAACCTCACAAAAAGAGGCATCCCACGGCTCTGAAAAGATGTCTGGAAACCAAATTGATGCTTCACCATTTGGGTTGGGAAGAGACCAGCCTCTGCTGCAATTCAGATGCTCCCTCTCCCTCCCTCCCTCCCTCTCCCCTTCCCTCTCCCTCCCTCTTTCTCTCCCTCTCCCTCCCTCTCTCCCCCTCTCCCCCTCCCCCCTCTCTCTCACGGCCAAATGAATAGCCCCCACCACTCCTGCCGTGGCCCATTCGCTTCTCCCTCACGCTCCTCATTGTGCTCCCCTTTCGCCAGAATCCCCTGCATAGAGTTGGATGAGGCTTCTCGAAGAGGAGGGGCAACCGTGCCCGAGGAACTGATTGGAGGATTGGTCCGGGTGGGAAGGGGGTGGCCGGAATTGAGCCCAGAGCGCCTTTGTCTTGCATCAACCTTATCGAGTGGGAAGGTGCCTCCACCGCTGCTTCTGCATGCCTTCCTTATGCTCCAGGGTATGAATGAGGCGGGTGCCTCGTGCATAAAAGGCACTCCATGGGGCGAGAGCACGCAGTGGCTAGAAAGAGCTGACCTTTCCTTTGGGCCCTGATAGGGTCTTGCCAGAGGCATTAAAACTTTTTGAACACAGCCCAGCCAGCGCCTCGGTCCTGGCCCGCAGTTTGGCCTGCGCGCCTTTTCTGAGCAGTTCCTACCAGCTAAAGCAAAACCAGCTGAGAGCCGGAATGACTTTCTGGAGCCGAGGGTGCTAAGCAGCTTCGAGGCTGGAGCAGCCTGGGCTGAAGCTCTTCCAGCTGCGGAGTTTCGGGGGGGTGCTGAGGAATCGCTCTTCTCCTCCTCCTCCTCCTCCTCCTCCTCCTCCTCCTCACTCAAATCGGCTGCTAGCGGCTTGGGTAGCTCTGCTCCATCCAAGTTGAAGAAAGCAGAGGCCAGCAGAGCCACCCAAGCCGCTAGCAGCCGATCTGAGGGAGGAAGATGAGGAGAAGAAGGCTGGCCAGGTGAGGAGAAGATTGGCGATGGTGGCTGGGTGGCTGGGGAGGGGGGGATAGTGGCAGTGGCATCTCCCCCTACCCAGCCTGTTTCCCCAGCTCCATACGATGCTTGGCAGAACCCACCCACCCCACACACTCCATCTGACCCATGCGGCACCTTTTCAGCAATCCTCCGTCTCTTCCTCTGCCGCCGCCACGTGCAGTCCCAAGAAGAAAAGAAGTTTGTGGGCAGTCGCACAAACAAAAGTTCAGTCAATCAATTCCAACTTTGCAATGTTTTTTTTTTCCCATCAGAAGTTGGAATTGATTGATTGAACTTTTTTAGTCCCCCTTTTTTTGTGGGACAGCAAATGGCGGAGGAGGACTGGGAGCTGCAGTAGAAGGCTGAAAGAGCTGCATGTAGCTCCAGAGCCTCGGGTTGCTGACCCTTAGCCTAGACACTAGATACAATGTTTAAAATAGAGTAATTCATTCATTCATGTGATTTGGAAACTATACTTTTTTGATGCACCCTAAAAATGTATTTTTAAAGAAATATTACATTACTAATTCATACTCAATTGCAATCAACTACTATTCCAATATTTTTTCATGAGTACAGTTACAGTACCAAACCAAGGATTATCCTGTACCTGCATATTTTTTACAGTTGATTTTCAAGTCAGCTAAAATCTAGCTTAAATTGAGAGAGAGGAGAAAGAGTGTATAAAGATTTATCTGCCCCCTTTTTGAGACATAGGAACAAAATTTGCCCTGCTGTTGTTGGTTCACACTTTATCAATTCTCCCAAAATTCCTGAAGAAAATACTTAAAGCAGTGATCTTCAACTAGTTGGGGAATTCTGGGAGTTGTAGTCCACATATCTTAAAAGTTGCTAAGCTAACCTAAAAATTTGGTCAGATGATTAGCAAGTTGTTTCAGTATAATAGGATGCAATTCATTTGGCCCTAAAGCTCTAAAGCAATCCAAATTCCTATTCTCTGTTCTGATCAATTTTAAACTTCAATCCTAATTCTGTCTTTTGTTTTTCACAATTGCTTAGTAGAAATCATACCACACAATTGTGCCAAAGAAAAATTCAGTTGCTCTGTCTTTTCTTTGTTTTCAGAGGCATCTTGCAGCTGGCATATTAATTATTTTCTCTTTCATTTTGAATGTAACTAAATAAGGTTGATTTATTGCCCTCAGATTCTACAATACTCTAATTTTCAGATCTTAACTAAGCTTTTTGTACTGCCATTTTGGCTCTTGAACTGTCTTTCATGTCCTCTCTTTTGGAATAATATGTTCTAAGATAATTCAAGTCCTCAATCATTACTGCTTCAAACTTCTTTGAAAGAACAGTGGTTTGCTCTTGGGAAATGTCTATATCAGTGATGGCGAACCTTTTAGAGACCGAGTGCCCAAACTGCAACCCAAAACCCACTTATGCATTGTCGGGTGCCGGGTGGGTGTGGCTGCGATGGTAACAGCAGTGAGTGGGACTAAAAAGTTCAATCAATCAATTCCAACTTTGCAAGATCTTTTTTTTTCCCGTGAGAAATTGAAATTGACTGATTGAACCTTTTTTTTTGTACATGGTGTCGGAGGCCTAAAGCAAAAATGTTTTATAAAACCCAGCTGAAGGCCTAGGATTGGGGCGACGGCGCGCATGCCCACAGAGAGGGCTCCGAGTGCCCGCTCTGGCACCCGTGCCATAGGTTCGCCACCACTGGTCTATATCTTCCCCTAGCTGGTTGGGTAGGAGTAGACACTAATAACCAATATTTGTTCCTGTACTTATTTTAAACCAGAAATTCTTTGTGCAAACAACACTTGGATTTCTGAACAGGGATGAATAATTCTAACAAACACTAGAGCAATTCCTCTTTTTCCTGCTTTTGAACAAATGTAGTTAAGCTCTCTAATTTATTCAATTATATTGCTTCCTATACTTCAAGTACCTTTGAGTCAATTGCCATAATCTAAGCATTAGTTTATAGACAACTAATATCTTAACTTGATGAACCAATATGTGTAGTGGTAGAGATGGACTTTATTATTATTATTTTTACTGAATTGAGTTTAATGGACTCCATTAAAGAAAAACACTTATTCTCCTTCTACACTGCAGAAATATTTATAAAAGATGGATTTTCCAAGGAGATTGTTTCCAATATCCTCAAGAATTCAGTTTCAAGCCATCTTTGCCTTGTACAAAAATTACATTTTTATCAGCCGTTCTAAGATGCAAGCTATGTTATGTCAGCAGACCTTCAATCCAAATAACCTGAACCCAATGGTCCTACATTTCATTTGTCTAGCAATCATTCTTTTTAGTTTTCTTTTTTTCCCCATTTTTGTCCTTCTCTATAGACTGCGAAGAATGAATAAAACACTTGAGCCTCCAGATTCTTAACTCTTGAGTTTCAAATCACATATTGGTCAAGGTGTCAGTTCAGCTTGCTTTTTTTTTTCATTGCATTCAAAGGCTTTATATTTTATCCACTGTTATCTATTTTTATCCATTTTTTCCTCATTTAAATATGGATTTAAATGAGAAAATTTAAATACTTACAATAATAGGTTCAGACTCTGACTTCTACTAATTTCCCAATTTCCTCTTAGGGAGATGATGGCCCACCAGGAAACGGGACCATTGGCTATCCTGGTGCCCCAGTAAGTTTCAATTCATACTACAAAAGTTTAAACAGAATTTATTCTCTTTATGCTGTTTCAATTTTACTTTCCAATCTTCCTTTACTTTTCCAGGGAGATCCCGGAATCAGAGGTGACCGTGGACTTAATGTAAGTATCTCTCTCATCCTTACCTTACTAAAAGTGTGAAATGAGAACCCCTTATTTCTTTTCTGACAAATTGGTGTTTGTTTTGTAAAGAAGCAAGGCTTTTGAAGAAAAGGTCATCCTTCTCTTCACTTCTGCAGCATTTGGATTTTTCAATTGCATCTATTTACTTTAAGAAAAGGAGTCTAAATTAAGCTGTTAGTTTCCTGTGATAATTTTGCCCCATGACATAATATTGTAATGAAATGCCTCAGGTTGGGAAGCTGAAAGGTAGTGAGAAGCAGGACTTTTCTCATAAATGCATTTATGGCCAGGTTTGGGAACAAAGAATTACAAATTTGTATGTAGCAGGAGCCCCAGCATATCTTGATGATGTGTCTCTCTGGCACCTTTTCATAAAGTACTGATATGCAGGGCAAGTGGATTTGTAAATCAGATCTATTCCTGAAGTTCCCATTTCTCTGTCCTCATTATTCCCATCCCGCCAGCCTTCTGTCTTTCCCATTCACATCAGGATTACCTTGGCCACTGAGGGAGGTGTGCTCCATGTGTGTGTCCAGTTCTGCACCCACCTCCAGTTGTAGAGGAAGGCTTGGGGGGAGGAGGGGGACACTGAAGGGAAGTCCTACAGGATCAAAAGAGCCATCTTCCATAGAGAGATTGTTAGGGTTCTCACAAAATATTGTAAAATTGTATTCCTGCTAAGTATATTTGAGATGAGTTGGACAGAGTTTGTCATTTGTTCTGAAAAACTTTCCTTTGCCAGCAGACCTATTTGATACAATAAATAGTTTAAAAATAACAGGGCACTGAATGGAAACCAAAATTGTACTTGTATTGCAGTTGAATATTCTAATAAATAAAAGATTTAGGAGAATGGAGTTCTCCACTGTCCATTGCAGAAGTCAGTCCCACATACTTTATATGTTTTTCCTAAATGTTGCCTTGTCTTCTTCAGGGCACCAAAGGCTATCCTGGGCCCAAAGGCGATGATGGTGAAATTGGAGAGCCTGGTAAACAAGTAGGTAAAAAATGGGATAGAGCATATTTGTCAAGAATTGACTCCTTTAAATGATGCAATCCGTGTTTATTTGAAATGGGAATTCTGTAGTAAGATTAGATGGCTTGTAAAGACCCACGCATTATAGTTTAGAAATGACTGGAATGGATGGGGGAATTATTCAACCGCAGCAAATTTAGAAGATGAAAGAGGGAACTCAATTGCGATTCAGCCTAAAACCCTGTGCCAATCATTTGGGAGTAAATTGAGTTACACTGAATTCCACACATCTTCAAATTGCTGAGGTTGAGAAATACTCATCTATATAGTAGTCTGTCTTTGGGATCATCAGCCAAGGAAAGATTCAACTCTTTGGTCATCAATTCCTAAAAGAAGTGGATGGGGCTGGACGTAGAATGATATCACTGCTGATACTGATTGAGCATCAAATGTGATGTTTATTTTCGTTTAAGGGAAAAAATGATAAGCACTTCTCTAGAGGTGAGTCTGCCTATAGCACCTCTGTAGTTTGAAGCTGTGAAATAATTACTTAGAGGCTCAGCATAACTGTTTCGAGGCCTCCCAGGCTCTTGTGAGGTTTGGACTAACACCAAATTATCTATTAGATAAGTCATTTTCATAATTTTCAGTTCTATTGCTGTAATTAGACATTTGAACAACAGGAAGCAAAGGGGCCCTTCTCCTGTTTTCTAATAGAAAAGAGCTGGTAGCCATCCACATAGAAAATCTGCCTTGTTCTTGTTTTTTTCACCTTCCAGATAACTGAACCTGGGATCAAAGGCAAGAAAGGTGTCAAAGGTTACAGGGGATCAGAAGGAGAACCAGTAAGTAGCAAAATAATCTTCCTATTAATTCTAATATTACAACATCTCACCCCTCCTTCCATTCTAGATCTTAGAGGAAGTAACAGGCTATGCTGCTATGGTACTGTCAGGAAGGATAGGGTTTCCCATCAGTCTGGTACAAATGACCAGTACTTTTTAAGGCTTCTATAAGAAAAAGAGTTTTTCTGGAAAGACCTCACCTGCAAGAGAAATTACCTTCAGTTCACTAAAACATCAAGTTCTACTATCATTGGAATCATTGAAAGCTGCAGTCCTTCCAGCTGGTTGAGAAAAATGATGCAGCATTAGGGAAGGAAGGATTGCTTTTGTTCATGATGAAAAAAAAGTTTGCTTTGTCATTTTATCTAATCTGTTTTAGAGAACAGCTGTATTTTAAATAATGTGCTAGCAGTTACATAGTCCAAGGCAATGGGGAAGATTAGCAATCTGGGATCTTCTATATCTAGCAGCCATAATTCTTTAGCATATTTTCATCTCTTCTTCAGTCTAGTTTGGAAACTAAGCTTCACCAAAAGCAACCATAGGTCACAGCCACGAAGTATAATTAAGAAAACAGAGTCCACGATAGATAAAAAAACATGTAACTTGATAAGCTAATAAGCAGACCTCTTTTAGGATTGTTATGCGTAAGAGTTAGAATTCATTTCATCCCTGCTGAAATCTGTTTTGCTACAATTTTCTCTTATAAAACCTTTCTATTCCTTTAGAATTTCTGTTGGTATCTGAGAATTTTTCTCGTAGCATTTACCATAGTTTTATCTCCTAGGGACCTCCAGGACCTCCAGGACTCCCTGGGCCAGATGTGAGTAGGACTGAAATTATGTTGTATGCTTTCTTCTCTACACAACAAAGCACTATTCAGATGTTTTCATGGAAAGTTGAGTAAACTGCTTAGCACAGCAAAACACTGCAGATATGAGAGAGTTAGAACAACTTCATATAACATTCAGCTGCTTGGAGGAAGGTTAGTTCCACAGTCAGTGGTTTCTCTCTTTTAAGTCTAGAAAATAATATTCTCAATATTATTTAGAGAAGCTGTTTTCTTGCTCTTCCTTGCTCTGCTTGCCAATTTGTGAAATATACCAACAAGTAGCTTAAAAAGATTTATACTCCAGTGGTTCAGGCTCTACCACTGTGTGACGGAATGGGCTCCCGTCACTTAGCCCACCTCCTGCCAATCTAGCAGTCCAAAAGCTTGTATATGCAGTTAGATAAGCAGGTACCATTTTGGTGGGAAAGGAACAGTGTTACATGTTTCACTGTACTCTTTGCTTTGCAGCATGATGTCATGTTGCCCACATGACTGTGGAAATGTCTTTGAATAACCCTGGCTCAATGGCTTAAAGAAATGTAGATGAGCACACACACACCCTTAAAGGACTAATGAAGTAAAACATGCGGAGACTCCTTTATTCCTTTACTGATTACATATTAGCACAGATCATGTTACCTAATTTGTATAATGAAACATCTGCAAGAAAACAATCCCTCACTTTAACCCTGAGCTACAAATAGTCTCCTTTATTGGTAAACATGTTGTGTTTGGTGTCAGGAATAGAGAATCCATACTTTTTAGTTCCCCTTTCATAAGCTCCAATGACTCCTTTGGCAATGGCAGTAAATTTTGGCAATTCAGTTCCTGAAAATTGACACTGCAATTTCCTCCAGTCTTTAAACAGCCAATCTTAAAAATCTGGGTGTGTGCATGTGTGTGTGTGTGTGTGTGTGTGTGTGTGTGTGTGTGTGTGTGTAAATAAATACAGATGGCCGTCACACTTTCTCAGCCCTAAATTAGGATGTTGAAAGAAAGAATCTGAAGTTAAATTGTCATCTATAAACTTCCTGAACTGTTTGCTAAATTAACTGTAAGGATATCAAAGGCAATTTTCTGCAAGATTGGAGGGAAGAACCAAGTTCATTCTACATTTCCAAAGTCTCAATGAGACCAACTTTTCTTCCTTTGTTTTTAGGAATGTGAAATTTTAGATATCATCATGAAAATGTGTTGTAAGTATTTGATCTCAGCTCTTGCACAGTTAATTGAAGTATCATTGATTAACAGCATACTGGTTTTACCAAATCACCAGCACAAACTATACAATAAGTCTCCAGGTTTTCAATTGCTGCATCCCCTGTACAGTGTATGTGATTAATACAACCTTACTTTTCCCAAATTAACCTTGTATACCTTGAAATTTAATAGGAATATAGAAATTATGAAGTTGCTTTAGTTGAATCACCTCAAGTAAAAAATGTGTTTTTATTGTTACCATGGCAAACTACTTGTAAAAAAATGATTAGAACCAGATCTTGCTTTTCATTTATTTTAGCAGTTCTGAATTGCCAGCAAAGTGACACATTTGAAAGTCAAGTTCTGTTCATGCATTTGTTTGGATATTTTAGGTAATATATCAGAAATTATCTTCATATATTGTAAATGCGTAAAGGCATAAACCATGCCAAAGAAGACTCAAATAATTCCTCCCCTCACATATTATTCAGACATAGAAATCATGCATCCATGTATACACAACAAGCAGGAACTCCAAAATCCTACAAATGTACATCTGTCTTTAATGTTTCATATTCAGAAGGGTCCTTGCAACTACCCTCTTCAAGACAACATTCACTACTTACAGTACAGTACAGACCTAGACAATTATTCTCCTCCAGTCAGCATTACTCAAGAGCAATGGTGATAGGGAAGAATAATTTCTGTGTTACCATCACTGCCGCTCATTAGAAGGACTGTATTTACTGTTTCATGCCTTTCTCTGATTCCTAAGGTTACCCAAGTTTTGCATGTTTAGATTCCTGGAAAAATTAGATGCCTCATGCCTTTTAATAAATCTTATACCATTCATTACTTGAAAAAAGTTCTATTAAATTACTTCCCATTTTGGGCTCTCCTCCTATAACTTTGACAGTTAATAGTGGTGCCTAAAACTAATGTTGATAGCCCAAGAATCAAAACTCTTCAGTTAAGTTAGGATAACAATAAAACATGATGTATGTCAAAATCAAAATTATCTGAAAGGCAAAAAGAAATTGGCATAAGTCAAAATTATTAATGTGTCAGTACTTTACTAATTTATTTATTGCTTATTTATTTTCTCAATGTACACAAGAGAAAGCAATTAGAATATGCTGTCTTGGAATGCTGTTTCAGAAAATAAAATATGCAGTTATTCTATCAATTTGTTTTTATTCTTATATTTTGAAAATATGGTTCTACTGCTAAATGATACAAAGTAATTATTACACTTCATAAACTAGAAGTGGGTTGTTAGGAAAAGGGCTTCTTATGTGCTGCTTGCATGCCATTTTGAATTACTTGAGCAATGTTTATATTTTTATTATATACCAGTGAAAATGAGGTTTTTGTGTGCATATTCTTTTTTTAAATATTCTTGTTTGGAAATGAACTAGAAATTAACTAAAATTATTTGTGGCAAATGCAATAATAAATATCATGCAGATAAAATATAGGTGCACACATTGAAAAAGGTATCCAGCATTTTTATTAAATTCCCCACATTTTCATTTGTTTAATGTGGCAGTATATTAAACAACTGGAATGCAGGAAACATTATAAAATATAGCCAATAAGAAGGGAAACATTTCCAACCTGTTTAAATTGTGGCTGCAGCTAAACAGTAGAAGTATGGATGTATTTCAGCACTCTTTGTATTTGCAAAGTTTTTATTTCTCAATATATTTTATTCCTCTCTCTCTCTTCTCCCACCTAACCCCCCCCCCCAGCTTGCTGTGGTAAGTTACCTATTTGCAATTTCTTTACCATTCTTCACATGTATAAAGATTTAGATGAAAATTAACTCTTTAGCCCATTTTTCACTAGCGGGCAGTCCCAGAATTAACTTCTGTTAAGACTGCCTACTGCCGTCGTCAATTTTTCAATCTATTGTTATAGTTATCTGCTGCGAAAATTTTAAATTAATCACCAGATCCATTTGGCCATGGTGTCCCAGAGATTCATGATTAGTTTTATTATCTAGTTAAAAAATTAGATTAAAAACAAGTATTATTCAGCATTGCTTATCCACTATTGTCACCTATTCTGATATTTGTATGCATATCATAAGTAAATGCTCCCTTATGTGTCATGATTGAGATTTGAAAAATATTGCCAGGCAATTATTTATTCTTTCAAAGACTTTTTATTAAACTTTATTTAGTTCTAAACAAGTTTATATAGAAATATTTATTATTTTTATATAATTAAAGCATGAATGTTAAGCCCTGATTTAGAATTAGTTTAGCTGTGCCCAACTCTTGAATGCATTTGTTTTAAATAGTTTGTAATCTTTTTCTCAATTTCCCCTTAAATATGGACAAGAAGTCTTAAATTAGCTTAGTTATATGCAATTGATTAGCAAAAATCTCCAAAACAAAATAGAAGCAAAAAAACCCCAAATAAAACAGCAACTCAGATTTTATTTACATAGGAATGCACAAACGTGCACACACATGAACATACAAACACATACATTTATTTTTGTAAATATTTTGTTCTAAAAAACATAAAATACAAACTGCATGCCATAGTCTGTTGGGTCCAGACAGGTCTCCAATCATAAACTGAGAGTTGGTGCCTTATCTTTTGTTATGCAAAACTTAGAGAGAATTGATAGACATTCCCATGCTAAATTATTCTCTTTCACTAACTTAGTAATAATTTGTATCAAAGCGCTTTTGTCCAAAGTAAAAATAGTACAGATAGTCCTCGACTTACAACAGTTTGTTCAAAGTTACAGCAGCACTGAGAAAAATGACTTTTTCACAGTTACAACTTTTGCAGCATCCCCATGATCATGTGATCAAAATTCAGATGTTTAGCAACTGGTTCATACTTATGATCGTTGCTATGTCCCAAGGTTGTGATCAACTTTTCTGACCTTCTGACAAGCAAAATCATTGGGGAATCCAGATTCACTTAACAACCAGATTACTAATTTATCAACTACAGTGATCCACTTAACAACTGTGGCAAGAAAGGTCATAAAATGGGGCAAAATTAACTTAACAAATGTCTCACTTAACAACAGAAATTTCAGGCTCAATTGTGATCATAAATTGAAGACTACCTGTAAAAATAAAAATTAGCAGATTAAAACATAAACATTGTCCCCTTAATTCACGGGTGCCAAACTTGTCATGTCACGTGATGTGTCGCGACATATTGCGACTCTTTTTGCATTGCCGACAATGGAGTGGGCGCAACTTTGCTATGATGAAACCGGCCCGTGGACTGGCAATTTGACACCCCTGCCTTAGTCGCTGAACCCTTTCAGAGTCCTCTCTTAATTTAGTTACTTGCCAATAAATTTTAAATCTTTAAACCAAAGTTTCTCTTATATTTCTGTCATCTCAAAAGAAAATTAAGGAAGGAATCTTATCTTTGCTGCAAAAGAAATCTGTCTGCAGTTGTAATTGATTACTTCTTAAATTGATTAAGAGATGGAGAAAGCAAGTCTATAAAGCTCATAAGGACTCTGCTGCAGTTAGGAGTATAAAATCCAGAGTTCCAGTAACATAATTCCTAATCTGGCTGCAAAAACCTTTCTGCAAGTTAATGGACAGGGACTGTTGTTCACAACTGATGTGGTTAATCTCTTGATCTCCCTTTGATCTAGAGAGGTAAACACTGGCCAAAAATCCTCTCTCGGGTAGCTTTCAAAGCCACAGTGGCTCTTCTCACTTTGGAGAGCTTTGGATAGTTCCAGGTTGCCATTTCCCTCAAGAAGCTGTTTGACATACCTGAATTCAGCTTTAAATCATCAAAGAGACCTTTTATTGACTCTTGATGCTATAAATGCTATTGGTGAATAAGCTTCTGAAAATACATTTTTCATACTTCTGCATGTGCTTCTACAGTATCCTGTGTTTTGTTACAGAATGCAAGTGTGGTCCCATTGATATTATATTCGTATTAGACAGTTCTGAGAGTATTGGAGAAATGAATTTTGGTATTGCAAAGGATTTTATAATTAAAGTTATTGACAGGCTGCGCACGGAAGAACATGTAATGGTAAGTTTTGGTGCAATTATACATATCGATATTCCTTGATTTTCAACCAGTTGTTTAACAGCTAGTCAAAGTTACAACAGACTTCCCTAGAAATACATACAACTTGTTTTCAGAGTTATGATGGCCACGCATGGCCCTGCAGTCACATGATTATATTTGGGGTATTTGGTAACTAGATCATCTTTTGTGGCTGTTTGTAGCCTCCTGTGGTCATGTGACCATAATTTATGATCTTTTTTGCTAGTTTGCAACATTTATTTCTGGTTTCTGGCAAAAACGCCCATAGAGAAAATAGGTTCATTTAATGACCATCGCTTTTGCTTAATGACTATCGTAAAATATGGTTGCAACTTCGAATTCAGTCATGTGATGCCTTGACTTACAACTGCACCAACCTATGATCCTAATTCTGGGCTCAATGTTATCATCTGGGTCCTCTTGCCCTTTCTCATAAGCAGTACCCTGGTTTCTATCCCAAGTTTTTCCCTGATGGAATCTCTATAGATAACGCTAATAATTAGTAACAGTGGTTGAAAAGCATGCAGCAATGCATTGTAATGTATGAAACTTCTTAGACAGGTTTCTCTGGGTCTACCATAGTGCAGATAATGTAATCTCTGATTTCTGGCTTTAGTTACAACTATTCCTTGGATATTATTTTTTTTACAGTTTTCCAGAGAAGACTCCAATCTTGCTATTGTGCAGTATAGTCATGGTGGAACTGAGGAATTGGTGCTCATGAAAGATGGAGACGTTCAAGGTTTCAAGGAGTGAGTTCATAACAGATGAAAGAATTTTTGTTTTTGTTTTTTGCCATCTGTGTCACAACTTTGTGGGGTGTCTGTTTAACTTTCTAAACAAAATTTTCAAATATTAATAGTCATTACTTGCAAAAAGCTGCTTGCCAGGATTCCATCATATGCTTCTGTGGATGAGACACAATTAAAGCCTCCTTTTGGTGGGATTGTCAGATGATATGCCAGGATTAGTAGCCAATCTAAAAGCATTTTTGAGTTGCACTTGGACACTTTGTGGGTCACCTTGCTGCCTTGCTCTTTAGTGGGAAGAAAGTAAAAGAACTGGATTTGGCAGAAGCATACAGTATATTGGAGACAACATTTCAATGTCTTAAAGCTATGAAAAGATCCAACTACTACAGTGGGCCACAACTGATTGATTACATCAGGAAAGAGCTGATAGGGATGAAAATGAAATCCCTATGTATTTCTATGGGTCTGAAAAGTCATCAGCCAACAAGACAGAACCAATGTAAAATAAACAATCAGTGCTGCATGGATTCCACCAGAACTCCGTTCAAAGGTCTGAAGAGGTTGAATGTCTTTGCATGCATGTGTCAGAGCATGTTAGAAATGCATTCTAAAAAGATTAGAATATGGACAGTTTTTTAAAAATATAAGTGTTAGGAATATTGTGTATGGGTAACTTGTATGCAAAACTCATAGATTTAAAGAAAAAACATGTGCACTAATAAGCATAGCTTCTTTAGTTGATTTTATGCAAAATAAGTGAAAGAATTGAGTAATGTATTATGCCAGATAGTCATGTCCTCTGCAAAAGATGAATAATGTAAATAAATGTTAAATCTGACATTTGAGTATATATTAGCAAAATGACGAATAAGAATGGTTAATGTTATTTGGCTCACATAGACAAAGATGCATCCATTAGGTTCTCATTATATGCGTCTGGTGTTCACGTAAATATTTATGACAACTTTTCTTTTCTGGAAAGATATCACTTTCATTCTCTGGACAAACAGTTGTCATTTCCTTCAGTTTATTGCGTTCATTTCAGGAAAAAAGAAGACATCTGTTGCATAGTTTATTCTAGAGCATTCCCATACCATTACCACCCACTAATCTGTAGCTGAAAAATATCCTGCTCAGGGGACTTCCAGTTCTACGTGCAGCGAAGGAGTTTGTAAGGATCCACTTCAATCCCACATCTTAAGAAAGCAGAACTCTTGGAGATAATAATAATAATAATCCCCCAGTGAGGCACTACCTTGACGTGGTTGTGGGGCTTGTGTACTCTGAGGAAGATGAGAGCTATGCCAGAGGTTCAACCATACTGGACAGGTCTCATCAGAGGAGTCAGACAAAGAGTGTCTCTCCCATAAAAAATATGGTGAGACGTAAATTTCAGAATGCCATACCGGCTCGGACGTCGCCCGGGTTAACAAGGTCCGCACTAGATATTGGAGTTCCTGGATATCTGGTGAAAAATGGGTTACAGGACTCAGGACTGTTGGCTGAGCAACCAGGGCCAGCAGCTGCAGAACTACTGGAAGAAAAGGTGTTTACCCGTCGCAGATACACAGTGATGGAAAACAAAGAAATAATGATCTGTTACTACAGATCAAGTCCAACAAGAAGAGGATATCTAAAACGAATGCACCAGTTCTGGAAAGAACAACATCCAGAATCAGAAATAACAGAACAGAGACTAGCAGATCAACGCCGATTTATAACACGAAATAAAGTATTCACAGAAACAGAATTGGACGAACTGCAAAGGTTTACCCAGGGCAAAGAAATCAAAGCCTTACCAGAAGTAATTCAGAATGTAGAGGCAAACCAGGGGGAGTTGGCAGTGAAGGAATCTAGCAGAGATATACAACTGTTCTCATTTGGAAACAGGCACCTCTACCTCAGGAAGAACAAAACCCTCTAACTAAAGAAATAAAAGAATTGAAACAAAGAATAACTGAGCATCTAGAACAGCACAAAAACAACAGAATAAGGCTATCTGCATTGAAGCTTGTTCCAAAGAAACAGTTAGCACAAGCATTAAAAGATGCAAATATTGCAATATCAAGTATAAGCACCAATTCACTGCAAGAAACAAACCAACTAATGTACAGCACAGCTGCAGTTATAACAGAATACCTGGGATGCAAAATCAACAAAGAAGAAAAACAAACAAACAGTGCACCAGAAAAATGGAAGGTTAGACTAGAAAATAAGATCAGCAAGTTAAGATCACATGCAAGCAAGCTAGAACAGATGAAAGAAAAGAAGCTGAAGAACAAGAAGACCAAAGAATACCTAATCAAGAAATACCACTTAGAAACAAGGAAGATCAAGGAAGCACTGGAAATAATAAAGCAACAAATAACAGCTATAGCCAGGAAAATCAGTAGATATGAAGCTCGAATTGCAAACTATAGGCAGAACCTCCAATTTCAATCCAATCAGAAACGTTTCTACCAATCCATCAATGGAGAAACTGCAAGGAATCAGTCAGTACCTGACAAGGAAGAAACAGTGCAGTTCTGGAAGCAGATATGGGATAACCCAAAGAAATACAACAAGGATGCGGCTTGGTTAAAAGAGGTGGATGCAAATAAAACAGAAGTTGAAATGAAAGAACTAGTAATAACAACAAAAATGGTAGAAAAAAGAGCAAAGAAAATCAAAAATTGGTCAGCACCAGGTGAAGATGAACTGCATGGGTTTTGGTTGAAACATCTAACTGTTATACACCCACTCATTGCCAAACAGTTCAACAATATACTACAAGGAGGAGAAATTGAAAAGTGGCTAACAACTGGGAAAACCTACCTAATAATGAAAAATCCAGCAAAAGGGGCAACACCAGGTAACTACAGGCCAATTACCTGCTTACCAACAACTTTCAAATTACTAACTGGTGTGGTAGCTGATGCAGTACAACAGCATCTAGTTGAAAACAATCTCTTTCCACCTGAGCAGAAAGGAAACCGCCCCAATAGCAGAGGAACAAAAGATCAACTCCTAATAGACAAAATGATCTTGGAAAACTGCAAGAGAAGGAAGACCAACCTGAATGTAGCATGGATTGACTACAAAAAGGCATTTGACTCTCTGCCACATGATTGGATAATAAAGTGCCTAGAAATAACAGGAGTCAGTAGAAACATCAGAAAATTTGTGCAAAGATCGATGGCACAATGGAAGACACAGTTGCAGATCAATGGTGAGAGGCTGGGAGAGGTTAATATCAAGAGAGGAATATTTCAAGGAGATTCATTATCACCATTACTATTTGTTATTGCACTGTTTCCTCTGTCAACAATACTGAATAACTCAGGACATGGCTATCAAACATCAAAAACATCTGCCAGACTATCCCACCTCCTTTATATGGATGATTTGAAGCTGTATGGAAAAACATCATCTGAAATAGAATCGCTGCTCAACACTGTCCGTATATATAGCCAAGATATTGTAATGGAGTTTGGCTTGGACAAATGTGCCACACTTACTATCAAACAAGGAAAAATAATGAAAACTGAAGGAATCAAGATGCCCCACGAAAATAACATTAAGAATCTGGATGAGGAAGAGTACTACAAATACTTGGGTATCCTTCAAGCTGACAACATCAAGCACACTGAAGTCAAGAAAAAGATTAGAGGTGAATACATCAAGAGAGTGAAGAAGATCTTAAAATCCAAACTCAATGGAGGAAATACCATAAAGGCAATCAACACCTGGGCAATCCCAGTCATTAGGTACACAGCTGGAATAGTGGACTGGACTCAAGCAGAACTAAAAGCAATGGATAGGCAGACCAGAAAAATAATGACAATGAATCATGCCCTTCATCCACGCAGTGACATTGATAGATTTTATCTACCAAGGCAAATAGGTGGGCGTGGAATGCTACAAGTACATCAGATGGTTGAAGAAGAAAAAATGGCTTTGGAAGAATATCTGAAGAACAATGATGAAGATGCACTGAAATTAGTATATCAGGAAGGCTTACTAACTACTGGAGAGACCAAACTGGCCTACAAGAAAGACCAAATGAAGAACAGAATAGAGGCATGGGAAGACAAAGCACTACATGGCCAATACATGAAAAAAATAGCTGGGAAAGCAGATAATAATAAAACCTGGCAATGGCTAAGAGCAGGAAAATTGAAGAAAGAGACCGAGGGACTAATTCTGGCTGCACAAGACCAAGCCTTAAGGACAAATGCATACAAAGTCAAAATTGAGAAGACAGCAACAGACAGTAAGTGCCGCCTATGCAAAGAAGCTGAAGAAACAGTGGACCACCTGGTAAGCTGTTGCAAGAAGATTGCACAGACTGATTACAAGCAGCGGCATGACAAAGTAGCAACAATGGTGCATTGGAAGATCTGCAAAAAATATCATTTGCCTGTAAGCAAAAACTGGTGGGATCATAAAATAGAGAAAGTCATAGAAAATGATAAAATTAAACTGCTCTGGGACTTCAGAATTCAAACAGACAAGCACCTGCAACATAACACCCCAGACTTAACAATTGTCGATAAGAAAGACAAAAAAGTCTGGATAGTGGACGTGGCAGTGCCTGGAGATAGCAGAATAGAAGAGAAAGAACTGGAGAAGATAACAAAATACAAAGACCTACAAATAGAAATAGAAAGACTGTGGCAAAAGCAAGCAAGGGTAGTACCAATAGTCATAGGCTCCTTGGGTGCAATCCCAAAACAACTGGAGCACCACTTGAACACCATTGGCATTGACAAATTCGCTATTAGTCAATTGCAAAAGGCGGCCTTATTAGGAACTGCTTCCATCCTGCGACGATATCTGTAATACCATCAAACATCCACATCTGCCTATCCCAGGTCCTGGGTAAGGACTCGATAGGTAGACAAAATGCCAAATCCAGTCTGAACATCTGGCTGACTGTGCGATGATCGATAATAATAATAATAATAATAGAAACATCAGAAAATTTGTGCAAAGATCGATGGCACAATGGAAGACACAGTTGCAGATCAATGGTGAGAAGCTGGGAGAGGTTAATATCAAGAGAGGAATATTTCAAGGAGATTCATTATCACCATTACTATTTGTTATTGCACTGTTTCCTCTGTCAACAATACTGAATAACTCAGGACATGGCTATCAAACATCAAAAACATCTGCCAGACTATCCCATCTCCTTTACATGGATGATCTGAAGCTGTATGGAAAAACATCATCTGAAATAGAATCGCTGCTCAACACTGTCCGTATATATAGCCAAGATATTGTAATGGAGTTTGGCTTGGACAAATGTGCCACACTTACTATCAAACAAGGAAAAATAGTGAAAACTGAAGGAATCAAGATGCCCCACGAAAATAACATTAAGAGTCTGGATGAGGAAGATTACTACAAATACTTGGGTATCCTTCAAGCTGACAACATCAAGCACACTGAAGTCAAGAAAAAGATTAGAGGTGAATACATCAAAAGAGTGAAGATCTTAAATGGATCAATGGAGGAAATACATAAAGGCAATCAACACCTGGGCAATTCCAGTCATTAGGTACACAGCTGGAATAGTGGACTGGACTCAAGCAGAATTAAAAGCAATGGATAGGAAGACCAGAAAAATAATGACAATGAATCATGCCCTTCATCCATGCAGTGACATTTACAGACTTTATCTACCAAGGCAAATAGGTGGGCGTGGAATGCTACAAGTACATTAGATGGTTGAAGAAGAAAAAATGGCTTTGGAAGAAAATCTGAAGAACAATGATGAAGATGCACTGAAATTAGTATATCAGGAAGGCTTACTGACTACTGGAGAGACCAAACTGGCCTACAAGAAAGACCAAATGAAGAACAGACTAGAGGCATGGGAAGACAAAGCACTACATGGCCAATACATGAAAAAAATAGCTGGGAAAGCAGATAATAATAAAACCTGGCAATGGCTAAGAGCAGGAAAATTGAAGAAAGAGACCGAGGGACTAATTCTGGCTGCACAAGACCAAGCCTTAAGGACAAATGCATACAAAGTCAAAATTGAGAAGACAGCAACAGACAGTAAGTGCCGCCTATGCAAAGAAGCTGAAGAAACAGTGGACCACTTGGTAAGCTGTTGCAAGAAGATTGCACAGACTGATTACAAGCAGCGGCATGACAAAGTAGCAACAATGGTGCATTGGAAGATCTGCAAAAAATATCATTTGCCTGTAAGCAAAAACTGGTGGGATCATAAAATAGAGAAAGTCATAGAAAATGATAAAATTAAACTGCTCTGGGACTTCAGAATTCAAACAGACAAGCACCTGCAACATAACACCCCAGACTTAACAATTGTCGATAAGAAAGACAAAAAAGTCTGGATAGTGGACGTGGCAGTGCCTGGAGATAGCAGAATAGAAGAGAAAGAACTGGAGAAGATAACAAAATACAAAGACCTACAAATAGAAATAGAAAGACTGTGGCAAAAGCAAGCAAGGGTAGTACCAATAGTCATAGGCTCCTTGGGTGCAATCCCAAAACAACTGGAGCACCACTTGAACACCATTGGCATTGACAAATTCGCTATTAGTCAATTGCAAAAGGCAGCCTTATTAGGAACTGCTTCCATCCTGCGACGATATCTGTAATACCATCAAACATCCACATCTGCCTATCTCAGGTCCTGGGTAAGGACTCGATAGGTAGACAAAATGCCAAATCCAGTCTGAACATCTGGCTGACTGTGCAATGATCAATAATAATAATAATAATAATAATAATAATAATAATAAGGTTGGAAGGGACCTTGGAGGTCATTGGGTCCAACCCCCTGCTCAAGCAGGAACCCTACACCATTTCAGACAAATGGCTGTCCAGTCTATTCTTAAAAACTTCCAGTGTTGGAGCATTCACTGCTTCTGGAGGCAGGTTGTTCCATTGGTTAATTGTTCTAACTGTCAGGAAGTTGATTTCCTCCAACAGGAACTTTTATTAAAAGTAGTTGATAGCAGACATAATAGACAGGATCTGAGGGATTCCTTTGCAGATCAATACTTTAAAGTGTCCCCAAGCAAACCCCACTCCACAGTTCATCCGGACAGTTCAAATCGGCCAAATCTCAAATGTTAAGTCCACTGTGGGAAAGGGGAGATAACATTGTTCTGGCTCAAGTCGTAGCATGATGTTCAAGCACTCTTCGCACCTCCTTTTGAAAACGGAGAAATAAACCAGGCTCTGGAGGTTTTATTTCTTTCTCCCCCCCCCTTTTCCTAGCTGACAGGTTAGGGAGATGAAAGTTAAGAGATAGGTACAGTGCAGGAAGCAAATTGTTACACTGTAGTGAATAGAGGAAGGGGAAAGCAATAATCCCGCAGGCACATCCCCCCTCCCCCTTGGGAGTATGGCAGAATCCAGGGGAAGGTGAGATTTGGTTTTAGGTCAGAGGGGATAGGTAGAAATGAAACAGTAATGGGTTCTAACACAGTTGAGGGGTTCAGGACTCCATGTCCTCCAGCTGAGTTTCTTCCTGTTAGGGGACCCTAAATGGGCCAGAAGCCGCCCCAGAGAGGCGGCAAGGAAGGAAGGAAGTCCCAGGGACCGCGGAGAGATGGAGGTCAACCTGATTGGTCCAGGAGAAGCTTCCAGAAACCAACAGGAGAAAGGCTAGCCTAACTCCAGAGTCTAGCCCAATCTGTGAGCAACCAAAGTCAAAAGCACTATTTTAAGCTGATCGTAAACAATGTGCTTGAATCTAGATGAGAACATTGATTTTCTCTATACTACATATCAACTTTCCTGAAGGGGAGAAATTCTTAGGAAGCAAAAAAAAAAAACCTCCAAGTGAGTGAAGGAGGGAGTTTTTTGCCCCAGCTTTTTGCTAACAGAAGCCGCGAAGTGAACCTTTTATGGAGGAATAAAATCTGAAAAATGAACCAGTGCTGACACCTACTGGTGGATGAGGATTATGACATACATGGTAAAATCTGGGGAAAAAACTATTTGTGATCTTCAAAGCTTTAACAATAGAGAACAGCTGTGTAGCTAAAGTGAGACTTACAAACCTGAGGGAACAAAAAAAAAAAAGAACTTTTTTGAACTCTCTGGATTATAAGTATTTATTCAGCTCTGAATCCAAAGCTATTTCCGGGGCGGGGGGGGGGGAATCTGGACTTTTGGTCATCATGGAAAATCAGATTTATAGGAAATACTTATCAAGAAAAAAATGAATATTTTTCAAGAGGAGATATATGATATGTTGCAACTACTTCAAATAACAATGATCTCAAATCACAAAGAAATCCAGAATAACTTTGAAAATATAAATCAACTCATCTCCAATTCAATTTTATGGCAAAAAAACCCCCTCAGGAAAATACAGCAGAGAAGGAACAGACAAAACAGATGACTGAACATAAATTCGAGGATAGAGACTTAAAGATGGAATTCTACAAAACAAAGGAGTATGACTTAATCTAAGTGGAAAAAAATTTACAAGAAATACTAGATTTGGAAAAAACAACCTATATTTCAACACTACAAAATAAACTTGAGGACATGAAAAAAGACTGGATAAAACGTATTACATAGATACCATAGAAAACACTAGAACTGGAGAGACAAAAAGTGACAAAAGAAGCAGAGAGAAAAAGAAGGAAAAAGATTCCCAATAAAAATGAGTGGGCAAATGCCCTTGATAGAGATACTGATTTACTTTTTATATCTACAGCAACATTTACGAACATTGATTCAGTAAAATACATCAATCAAGAAAGATATTGGGCAAAGGAAAAAGACTAAGGTCAGAGAGAATACTTAAAAAAGAAACATTTGTTTGAATATGATTAAAGAAATAGAAAAATTTTGGAACATATGCTATTCTAAGAGGGATGAACTCTCTAAATAATATAGTATACTTTTTTCTCTTTTGTGTTATTTTTCTTGATATGAGTAATAAAAAAGTTGAAATGATTTAAATAAAGGAAATGTTTTAGATACTTAAATTTGACTGAATTTAAGAAAATTATGAAAAAAATGTTTTGAATAAGAGTTAAAGGACTAGATGACTAGAGGTATTGAATGTTTAAAGATTAAATATATCTTAATTATGGTTAAAAAGAATAGGAAATTGAGGAAATAAACATATATTAGCCTAGGAGGGATATATATTTTAAGTAGTATGTTATTTCTTATGTTTCTTTACTCTTGCTCTCCTTTCTTTTTCTTTTCATCGTTTTATCTATTTCTTAAGAAATGTAAAAGTGTGAGATGGCTTATACGGAAAAAACAGAGTTAAATTTGAAAATGTAAATGTAATTAATTTTTGAGAAAATCTTCACCAGTAAGAATATCTAGAATTTGGTGGGAGAAATAAACTAAAATAAGGATTGTAACAGAATCTATGATAAGGCAACCAGAATGACTGAATAGAACAGGAATATTATACTGATATGATTATTATTTTTAGGAATATTGGGAAAAAAGTATATGTTCAATTGTTATTTATCAAAATAATAAGAAATGTATTATTCAATGCTTGCAAAAGAGGATATTTTGAGGAAAGAGGAAATCAACTAAAATTATTATGTGGAATGTGAATTATAGAAATTAATTGTTAATGATTGTTTTACAAATGTAACCCAGACAACACAATGTTCACCAATTAAGTGATTTATGTTTTTTAAAAAATTCAATAAAATATATTACAAAAAAAAAGAAAAATATCCTGCTCAGATGTTCTCTGCTTTAAAAAGAAATAGCCAACAAAATACTTTACTTGTGGTTGGGTCTTGGCAAGTTAGAAATATTGCTTTGTTAACAGATGAGATAATGCAAGGATTTGGAGCTTCATACAATACATTAGTCTAATTTATTGCTATTGTTAAAGTATTGGTTAGTTTCAAATTTCTGAAATGAAAACACAAACTAGCCTTTCTGAAAGAAAGTCTGCAAAAAATCTTCCCATAAAGTATAATGCTTTATCGGATAAGGTACAATTTGCTGACTCTGATTCTTTTGATGTTATTGCAAGGGCTGTGAAGAACCTTCACTGGATTGCTGGTGGCACCTTTACTGGAGAGGCTCTTGACTACACCAAAAAACGTCTGCCCCCATATTTCACTCACAAAAGAGTTATCATTGTCATCACAGATGGACGGACTGACATATTACACGATCGAACACCCATCACTGTTCTTTGTGAAAGAGATAATAAGGTGAAATCAATATAAGTTTGGGGAAGTGGTGGAAATGCTAACCTAGAAACCTAGTCCTGCCTTAGGCATGAAAGTGACTTTGGGCCAGTTGCTCTCTCTTAGTACAACCCATCTCACAGGGTGATGTGAGAAGAGGAAGAAGTATTATATACTGTATGCTCACCATCTTCAGTTATTTATTTAAATAAGGAATAAGGGCATTATGTATGTATGTATGTATGTATGTATGTATGTATGTATGTATGGATAGATAGATAGATAGATAGATAGATAGATAGATAGATAGATAGATAGAACAAAAGCTCATGAGACCATATGTCTTTGTAATAAGGACAACAGATATGGACTGCATAAGAACAGCATTTCTGTAAGCAAATTACCAGAAACCATCTAGATGTGATGGGGGTTGATGAGAGGGTAATGTTGACTGTCAAATCCCGTTCATGTTCTTTGAAGAATCTGTATATATGCTTAGTGCCCTGGATTTTGATAAGGCTTGATTGTTGTTCGCATTTCTCTGCAACGTTCATGATCTTGATTGATGTTGGACATTCTAAAAGGGACTGCTTTTTTACCTCAAATCTACAATATTTGTGCTGCGGTATTAATGTCTTAGGAATATTGCTGTATTCTCCCTGTTTCAAGTGAAGAGTAAGTTTCATTCACATTTTGGGGGCACCAGAGAACCTTTATAACACTCATTTATCAAAATGTAAGCATTATAATATCTGATATTATTTGCCTTCATTATAATATCTGTTATTCTTTAGGTTGTCCCTGTGGGTTCCAGTGATATTTTCGAAGACCCTCCAGATTCTGAAAAATTAAGTAAAATATCCTGTGGAGGCCTCACATTTACTCAACCAGAGTATATTGCCTTGCTGGATGACACCTTCATTCAGAATGTTACCTCTTATGTTTGTCGAGGTGGGTGAATAAAGTGATTTTCTGCTAATTTGGTTTAGCTAAAAGAGGAGTGAAACAGTACAGCCTTCTGGCATGTCCAATGAAACCTGCAGCTTCCCTTCATCTCCCCCACAACACTGTGCTTGTTCCACACCACTTCCCATTGCTTTCCACTACCCTCCATGGTCCCTCTGCCTTTGGTCTCTGCTGCCCTCTGTTACATAACCATTAGATGAGTGCAAAGAGTTAGAGTTACCTGTTTCTGCCATCTAATGATTGCCTGGAGTTTTGAAGTCCACCTGTGATAGCCCCAAACCTGTTAATTTCTTGGTTCTTCAACTCTTGTTAAGGGGCTATTGATTACTTTAAAATAACGAGATGACAATTGTGGGATGTATGCAGTTACCTTAGCACTATTTTAAATGTTGACGCAGAAGAAGCATCTTCTTAAATAGTCCACTGTGTGCTAATGTCTGCAAAACAGTTTTTATGATCTTATCAAATGTTAAATGTGTTTGCATTTGTAAACAAAGATAGGATGGGAAACTATGTACTGAAGTCACCTCTGTGCAGGAAAAGTCATATATAAAATCAACAAAATGAAACAGTCAGGGTTAGTTGCCATTTGGTTACAGTAGCAGTCTAAGTTGTACAATACTAACTACAATGAAGAGGTTTAGACTGGTGAGGAATTACAAAACGCCTATTTCAGTATTCAGGAATGCTTTAATGCAAACATGTCAAACACAAGGCCCAGGGGCCAGATGTGGCCCGCGAAGTGGTTTCATGCGGCCTGCAAAGCCATCCTGGAAATAGTGAGGGAACGGCCCCCATTGCCTTGGCCCTGGCCCAGGCTGGCCGGGAGCTAATGTACAATTTTGTGGTGACCATCTATACTGAAACGCATTCAGTCTTAGCTCCACAAGGCCATCTAGAAACAGCAAGGAACCAGCCCCTGCTACGTCAGCCCCACCCCTGGATGCATGCTGGGGAGATATCACCCTTTGTGAGGAATGAAGAAATAGATCATGCCTTGGCGCTTGCCCCAGTCCCACCCCCTTCTGCCAGAGACCCTCAGATCTGTCCCACTCCTGCCCAGGCCCCCATAGTCACCCTTGACGCGAATGATGTAGAGCTGGTCATGCCCACCCAGTAGGCCACACCCACTCCATCCATGACCACCCAGTAGGCCACACCCACCCGGCTCCCCGAGGGCCACCGCAATGCTGATGCAGCCCTCAATGAAATTGAGTTTGACACCCCTGCTTTAATGGGATTTTTGTTTGGTTTTGTTTTATAGAAAAACAATGTCCTGACTATACCTGCCCAAGTGAGTATCCCATACTATTGTATGTACCTCTTTTGATTTCTTTACTCCATGCATAATCTTAATATTGCCTTATTTAATAAAACATTTTGCTGGGTTGCTTCATGGGGCTTGACTGGATCATTTCCATCTGAGCATGTCCATTCAAGATGGATAAGTTAATTTCACCAGCTGCAGCAATATAGTAAATTGTGGTAATCTGCAATTCACTGTATCAGCCGTTTGGGGCAGTATTTCTGTCACCAAAGTGATCTCTGCCCAGCCAACACTTTCTGGCCTCTTTTTAAAAGGTTTCTATTAAAATTCTGGCCCAAACCACTGTGAGCTTATCCTGCTGAGTTGAGTCTTAGTGTCCCAATTTCACTTCCTGTACATGATGGAGGAAAAAAAATCACAAAAGCACAAGACATGCTTTGCAATTGCTTCATTTGCAGCTGCTTCAGCCTCCCTAATAAGAATGTAAAATGCTATTAAAGAAATACAATTTTAACTATATGAATGAAATGCTAAAAACCTCTTGTCACAACATCTATCAGTTAATTTGCAGAGAAATTGAATTTTAGAATATTGAATCAATGTGCCTCTGCATTGTATAACAACAAAGAAGTCCCTAATCCCTGAGGTCATTTTGCTCCTCTTTTTTTATACAATCGGTGCCCAAGGGAAGGCAGCATTCCCTCCCCCCCCCCCAACCTCTGGGATATGGGCCTCAGCAAACTGCGGGGGAGAGAAAATTACTCCAGTTCAGCAGGAGAGTTTTTGCTTCACTGAAAACGCTGCTTATTTACACAAGATGTTTTCACTCAGTGTTGGAAGAGAGCTCCTTCTCAGTTCAGCTCAGTATGACTCAATATCCTCTGCAGAGGAACTGTAGCCTGAGCTGTCTCTAGAAACTTTTCAGGGTTATGTGAAGAGAGGAAGGGGGAATATGGATGGTTTGCACTCAGGCCACTACTGAAAGCAAACTGTTGAAACATATGTGGCAAGGATACCACCGAAATAACCTTTTCTCTTTTCAGTTACTTTTGCTAACTCAGCTGATATTACACTCCTTGTGGATAGCTCTACCAGTGTTGGGGCCCATAACTTCAATATCACCAAGAAGTTTGTGAAACGTCTTGCAGAACGATTCATATCAGCTGACAAAAGTCCAGGGGCTTCTGTGCGCATCACTGTTGTCCAGTACAGTGGCAACACACAGCAAAAATTGGAGGTGGACTTTCAACGGAACTACACAGTGATAGCTGATATAGTTGACAAAATGGAATTTATAAATGATGGCACAGATGTTGTTGCAGCCTTGAACTATGTCACCAACCTGTTTCGGAGGTCCTCTCGTCCTGCTATTAAGAAGAGGGTGCTGATCTTCTCAGATGGCAATTCTCAAGGTATCACTGAAAATGCCATTGAGAGAGCAGTCCAGAATGCTCAACAGGCAGACATTGAAATTTATGTACTTGCTGTTGGCACACAAGTCAATGAGCCCAACCTACGTCTGCTTGTCTCCCAAAAAGCAGCTCAGGATGACATAGCCTACAGAGAGCGCCACCTTTTCAGAATACCCGATTATCAATCTTTGCTGAAAGGTGTATTCTATCAAACTGTGTCCAGGAAACTAGCTATAATCTGAGAAGCAAGTTAGTGCAAATTCTAAGATTTCAGGAATAAATTGTTAACCTCCCGTGGAACCCATGTTTTTATACAGAGCCATAATCTTTTGTCCTTGCTTTCAGGCTGTGCTATGTTTATCTCTGTCCATTCCTCTTTTCTTTATTGCCCATGATTTCCTCCAGCCTATAGGAAGAAATACAAATTGATTTATTGTTGCTCTAGTTCATAACTGTAACCAAGAGGAGAATCTTGTTTCATATTTGACAAGCGATAAAGGGCTAACTGGGAATATTAAATGCACTGTCTTTATCCCTAAGATTGATAGTACTCTTTACATGAATATAAAGATCTTCTTTTCAGAATAAAATGCACATGACTTCATTGCCTTTTTTAATTTTGTAACTAAAAAGATACAATATAATACATTACAGTAAGCATTTCCTGGGTTAGGCAGCTCCAGAAAAATTATTCCACTCTTAGAAACAAGGGAAATTCCAAAGAATATTTATTGCCCTCCATTGTCACTTGAGTGGGGTACATGGGGTGAATGATCAGGTTCAAAACATGGTGATGTGGTGGTAGTGGTGATGATGATGATGATGATGATTTGGCAATAATAAGCTAACAATATCTAGCCCAGTCTAGAACTGGAGAAGAAGGTTCAAGCCATTTAATCAACTATGATATTATTTAGATACAATGAACTCACAAATGTGATTGAAAAAGTTATTAACAAGAGTTGGAAGGAACCTTAGAGGTCTTCTAGTCCAACGTCCTGCTCAAGCAGGTGACCTGATACTAATTCAGACAAATGGCTGTCCAGTCTCTTCTTTAAAATCTCAATGGAGATTTTTAATCCAGCAATAGATTGCTTGGCATTATCTAAATCATGGGTTCTCAACCTTGGCAACTTTAAGACTTGTGGACTTCAACTCCCAGAATTCCTCAGCCAGCTGAGGAATTCTGGGAGTTGAAGTCCACAAGTCTTAAAGTTGCCAAGGTTGAGAACCCATGATCTAAATTGAAATTGTCTAGAAGCCAGTACAGAACTCTTGTCTTGGAGGATCTTATGTTTTTCCATATGATATTAAGATAAGGTGCTACACTCACTTCACAAGTTGAGCTTTACATTACTGATATGTTTACATATTCAAACTTGGTTTGGACAGGTTTCATGCAGTATTTCCAATGGTGCTGTTGCTATGAATTCAGTATGATTTTTAAAAATGAAGCAATTGTTTTCAGAATTACAGCTTGTATTGTTTTGTAATCAATATTCATTTTACCACTTTGTTTTATTTTATTCCTTTGTTTTACTGACAAATGTTCACTTTGAGGGTTTTTTTGCAAATAAATTTTGTTCCACAGTTTCAGTGCCTTCTGTTGGTTGCAAAAGGGACCTCCAGACTCTTGATTGTTTTGCTATCATTGACTAATATGACTCTCCTCCTGAATGTGAGGGAAAGTCATTTTACATAAATCTTAAATTATGAAAGTGATGGTTCATAACTAGTGGGAGGCTTTGCCCATTTGGTTTTTTTATACATATGTGACATAAAACCAGCCTCAAATTCTTTATATATAAAAAATTTATTAAAAGTTTTAAAAAGAGTATAAAAAGTAACCACAAATCACAAAATTTAAAGACCTACAAATAGAAGTAGAATAATTGTGGCAAAAGAAAGCAAAGGTAGCACACAGTAACAGACACCTTGAGTGCAATCCCAAAACATCTGGAGCACCACCTGAACACCATCAGCATTGACAAAATCACCTCCAGTCAATTGCAAAAGGCAACTTTACTTGGAATAGCTTCTGTCCTGAGATGATACCATCCTGAGATGGTATCTTTAACATCATCAAAACAATATTTGCCTCTCCAGGTTCTTGAGAAGAACTGGAGAAGTAGATAAAAATGCAAATCCAATCTGGCTGGCTGTGATTAATAATAATAATTCATTACTATCAAAAATAGATTAAAATTACTATTTAAAAATACCAACTATTAACACCCTTTCCACAACAATTAGAGAAATAATCAAACCAATCCAAATAATCATTTTCGATCTTTTGATGGTGGTGAGAGGGGAGTCAGTTTTTGCTGCGTCTTTGAAGGATTGCAATATAGGTGCATTACAATAAAGTTCAACTCAAATCTTTCCAGAATTGGTATGCTTCATTCTTGTGTTCCTGTCAAAAAAATTTCCAACATAGCCTACTAGGGAAAAGCTAGACACTGTATATTGTCTGGCTTCCACAAATGTGGTCTTTATTCCCTGTTTTCCAATGACATTGGTCAGGCCTTGACATTCTTAAGGTGTAATACTTTTTTGATACTCTGCTGCAGCCTTGATAAAGCTTAAAAAATTGAAATCATACAAATAATTTTGTTTATTGTTCAGTCACTAAGTTATATCTGACTCTTCGTGATCCCATGGACCATAGCACACCAGGCTCCCTTTCCTCTACTGTCTCCCAGAGTTTACCCAATTCATGTTCATTACATCAATGATGATATCCAGCCATCTCATCCTCTGCCGTTCCCCCTTTCTTTTGCCTTAAATCTTACTCAACATCAGGATTTTTCCAGTGAATCCTCATTTGGATACTTTGGAAGGACAGATATTTCAGTATCTGTCCTTCCAAAAAACAGTTGGGGTTAATTTCTTTTAGGATTGGCTAATTTGATCTCCTTGCAGTCCAAGGGACTTGTCAGAATTCAATTATATTTCATTTCTAGTTATCGACTATGAAAATCCCCAATTTCTGCCTTCTCTGGATTCTGTCATACTACGAAGGGGAAGGGGGATGAGCAAAGGGGTTTTATGGCTCTCACTTCCTTCGTTACAACTTCAAAGGGACTGAATGTGGATATCACCAAAAGGACTAACCATAACAATAGAGCCCATCACCTTTCATGTACTCCTCTCTGAAGTCTCCCTTCCGCAGGCCATCAGGAAAAAGGGGGTGGAAATGTAATGCCTGGGATTGTCGCTGGAAGGACGGTGGGGTGGGGGGGCTGCTTGGGATACTTAAAACCTTGAATGGGAGGGCTTGGGCCCCAAGTCCTGTCTAGAACACCTGCAACCATCGTCTCTTAATAAAGATGCCTGTTGGAAGAAATATTCCAAGAGTTCTGTCTTCTTAAAATGCAAAGTGGGGTGGGTCTTTACAGGACTCTCAAGAAGCTCCAATACCACAATTCAAAAGCATCCATTTTTCAGTGTTCAACCTTGTTTGTGGTCCAACTCTCAAAGCCATACATCACTATTGGGAAAAACGTAGCTTTGACTATACCAGGGGTCTGCAACCTTAAACACTCAAAGAGCCACTTGGACCCGTTTCCCAGAGAAAACATTGGAGCCACAAAACTTGCACACACGCACGCGAGGGGGAGAGAGCTTGATTGAAGAGTTCAATTAAAAAGAAATAGAGGCTGCTGTGCATGAGTTCTCTCTCTCTCTTTCTTTCTCTTTCCTCTCCCCCCTCTCCCTTTCTTTCCTCTCTCTTTCTCTTTCCTTTCTTTCCTCTTTCCTTCTCTTTCTTCTCTCCTCTCCCTCTCCCTTTTTCTCTCTCCCTCCCTTTCTCTCCCTCTCCCTTTCTCTTTCCTCTCCCTCTCCCCTTCTTTCCCTTTTTTTCTCTCTCCCTCTCTGTCTCTTTCTTCTCTCTCTCTTTCTCTCTTCCCCCCCCCTCTCCCTCTCTCCGATCTTCTGCTCACCTGGCAAGCTGGCTTCAAGCTGTTCTCCAACAAGCTGACACACATTCTTATTGGGCTCGCTCTCCCCTGCCCTTCCTGTTTCCTGCTTCCTGCAGAGACGCCTTCAAGGGAGGAGCTCCGCCCAATAAGCTTATCAGCTCATCGGAGAATAGGGTGAGGCCATTCTCTTTTTACACACACACACGCACACATAGAAGAGAAGCACAAGTGCCTCTCTCTGTCTGTCTCTGTCTCTGTCTCTCTCTCTCTCTCTCTCTCTCTCTCTCTCTCTCTGTGCAAATGGCAGAGGAGGCTGGGAACCATAGGAGAAGGCTCAAAGAGCCGCATGCAGCTCCCGAGCTGCAGGTTGCCGACCCATGGACTATACAGACTTTTGTCGGCAAGATGATGTCTCTGCTTTTTAATATGTTGTGTAGGTTTGCCATAGCTTTCCTCCCAAGGAGCAAATATCTTTTAATTTCATAGCTGCAGTCATTGCAATAATTTTGCAGCCCAAGAAAATAGAGTGGTACCTTGGTACTCAATGCATTTTGATATGAAAGTGTTGTCCCAGTACTCATCATTTGGTACTTAATGCACAAGCTAGAACTTGGTGTTGGCCGCCTTGTGACTCACTACATTATTCCTTATGGAAAAGTTTGTTTGATACTCATCATTTTTGGTGCTCATTGCACTTCCTGGAAACCAATTAACAATGAGTACTGAGGTACCACTGTAAAATCTGTCACTGCTTCCATTTCTTACCCTTCTATTTACCCGGAAGTGATGGGCCTGGATGCCATGATCCTAGTTTTTTTAAAAAAATTAACTTTTGCACTCTGGAGCAATCTTTTCTCCTTTCAGTAGAAGCCATTTTTCAAGAACACCTTAACAGGATTTTTTGCATGGTTCTTGATGAGTATTAACAGTAAAGTATGTACCTAATTCTATCATCAGCATTTTTATTTCTCCCAATGATGTTATTCAGTTGGAAGATTCTCTCATACATGTAATTGTCGACACAGCTTAGTTTTCTGCAGGTATATTTTTCTACCTGGTAATACAATCTTAGAACCTTTTGCATTCCACACATGGATAGCCTATGAGAGACTTGTAGGCATCCCCTTTGCCCACAATACCAGTAATCCATACACTTGAACTAGCAATCCATGTATGCATTTCCTTCCCTACCATAAGATAGTTTTCCTTGGCTACTTTTTTAGCTGTGGGTTGAAGACTAATATAAATTATAAGTATTATCATTCAACCTATTCCTTGCCATTGCTGTGATTTGAGGACAGCAGCCTCCATCAAAGTAACTGTGTTCAGCCTTCTCAAAGATTAGGTTTGCTGATTTGAGGAAGCATTTCTGAATTGTTTTGTCTCTGAGACCACAACTCATCAGTGACATTTGTAAGGTGTTGCAAAATTGCAGTGACTCAACTCTGAACTAAATTGAAAAGTAACACAGAGAAACAATTCTAGACTCCAGTTGCTGTCCAGTGAAGAAGAAAATCTTGACATGAGCTTATGACATGCATTTCTCCCATACCTGGTTCCCCAACCATTCCTCACCAGTATCACCAGTGCATTTCTAAAAGCTGGCCTATTCAGTTTCTGCCTGGGGAAACTTGGACTGTTTCTGCCCCTAATATTTTCCTCCATTATTTCTTTGGGAAAATATAATATTCTGCCTTTTTTAATATCCCCCCAAATACTTCCTTCTCTAGGAGGGTGGGTGGATGCTGACTTTCTACATAACTCCACCTTCAGGCAATTATTGCATAGACCTGCAGGTTTGTCTTACAGGGACAATTGAATGTGTGTAGCCCATACTTGCTGTCCATCATCAGTGTGGGGTGCTGTTTGGATTTGCTTTTATTTTCAAAATGCTTGCATACCTACCATGACTAAATGACAGCAAACCAATAAGCTACGCAGGACATGTGAACTATCTCCATCATTCTACAGACTGGAGGTGGCAGAAGAGGTGAATCTTGCAAAATAGTTTGAAACAGGTTTTGCTTTGTAGCATGTTGAAATACTGTTGTGAGATATAGCCAAGACACCAATAGAAAGAAGTAATTAAGTGGAAAGTTTGATGTTAAAAATATGAGAGATCAATCTGTTGAGAGACAAAACAAATGTTGAGAGATTAGTCTGGTTTGTTCAGGTAGTCTGTGTGAATTTTTTTTAACAGCTTGGGGGCTGTTACGTGACATTTGTGAACCCATTCATTTTAGGAAGAGGGAAAGTGTTTCCACACTATTAGGTATTGGGTTGCCCCATGGTGTTTTCGGGAGTCAATGATTTCTTTTATTTCAAAATGCTGCTTCCCCTCAACCATAATGGGAGGAGGCAGTGGAGCGATGACTGGTTGTAAAGGCAATCGCTGCTCTCGTTTTAATAGGCTGCAGTGGAAGATAGGATGAATTTGCCTGAGGGTTTTGGGTAGTTCTAATTCTACTGTTACTGGGTTTATGATCCTTTTGATGGGTAACGGTCCCACATATTTCAGTCCTAGTTTTTTGGATGGTTGCAGGGACTTTAGGTATTTTGTGGACAGGTATACCATTTCCCCTACAGAGAATGGTTTTGGCTCAACCCTTTTCTTATCTGCTTGTGCTTTATAGGCTTGTCTGGCTTCATCTAGTGCTTTTCTAACTACTGGCC